CTAACATCTGCCGAACAAAACAACATCTTACTCGAGGAACAGTTTGGTTTTCGGAAAGGTCGTTCGACCGTCCACCAGCTGACTCGAGTGATAAACATTCTCAGACGGAACAAGTCTGTTTCGAAAACATCTGCCATGGCGTTGTTGGACGTTGAAAAAGCGTTCGACAATGTCTGGCATGATGGCCTGGTGTTCAAATTGCAGCAGTACGGTCTTCCAATCTTTCTAGTGAAGATAATAAACAACTATCTATCGGACAGGAAGTTCCGAGTCCCTCTGAACGGCATCACATCGGATGCTTTCAACATCGGCGCTGGAGTTCCACAAGGAAGCATCCTTGGCCCCATTCTATTCAACCTGTTCACCTCCGATATGCCGGATATGTTGTCTCTGTTCGCAGATGACACATCCATCGTCTACAAGGGTAGGGTCATCGGAGCTCTGACTGCCAAACTTCTGAGAGGCCTGGACGTCTGAATATTTAAACCGCTGGAAGATCCGTATCAACGCGGTAAAGACCCAGGTCATCATCTTTCCACACTCAAAATCTCCCAGACTTGTTCCGTCTGAAAATAATAAGATCTGCTTAAACGGCTCAGTGGGGGAATGGTCCAAAGAGGTCGTGTACCTCGGGCTAACATTAGACAGCAAGCTTCTTTTCAGGGAGCACGTTGACAAAACCAAAACCAAGTGCAACATCTTGATAAGATCGTTGTATCCACTCATCAACAGGAGGTCTACCCTGTCCCTGAAAAATAAGCTTGCTGTCTACAAACAAATCATCCTTCCCGTAATAGAATACGGGATGCCAATTTGGGAGAGTTGCGCAAAAAGCCACCACCTTAAACTTCAAAGGATCCAGAACAAGATCCTGAGAATGATCCTCAACAGTCCACCGCGGACTAGAAACTCTGAGGTCCACCGCCTGGCTGGTCTTCAGACACTGGAGTTACGGAGAGTTGCCTCCATAGCAAGGTTCAGCGATAGCTGTAGGCGATCCGACCAACAGATCGTCAGGGATCTGGCACGTTAGGTTAAGTTAGGTTAAGTAGGTAGAATAACAAATTAAAACATTCAAACAACATATTTCACAAGAAGAAAATTGAAAAACATTACACAGTAAAACACGACATGTACAATATTAAATCAAAAAGCTCACCAAAGATGAAGAGCCCTTCTGACTAACCTCTTGTCCTGTATTAGCAATTGCAGGGCTGTTACAACAGGCGCGGATTTCACGATATTCGCGGATTTGTCGCGGATTTGAACTTTTAGTAGCGAAAATCGCGGAAACATTAAATGATGTTGCGAAAATTGCGAAGGGACTGATGTGCTGTCACAAAAATTGTGGAATTCATTGTAACCTTTCCGTCCCGGATTATTTTGCTGTCATCAATTTTGTTGTTCAGTTGGCTCTCAATTTTTTACCGGTTCAAACCAAACACCCTGTAAATAATCGAAAAATGATCTCAATTCCATAAGTCACACCGGATTTACATGGAAATTCCCTGAGGTCTGTACAATGTGAGACATTTTCCTTTTTTTCCAATATGAACATAGCATTTTCGTTGTCAAATCACAAACGAATCGTATATATGCGAGTAATTGCCATGTATACCGGATATTCTAGGTTCTCGAAATCGTCCTTGAGTTCAGTTGATTTGTTCTATCAAGACTCCAATAATGTCTGTAGTATCGAAATATGTCCAAACAGATTCAAAGTGTCTATGTGGATTGTACCCGACCTATTGCTACGTATACAAGATGTTATAGGTTCTGAAATCATTCTGGATATCAGATTATTTTTCTACTAGATCACCCAAGACTAATTCAATATCTGTAGTATCGAAATATGCCCAAACAAATTTGCAGTATCTATGTAGATCATGCCAACCTATTTCCGCGTATGCCAAATGTTCTAGGATTTCCAAATCGATATTTCGATACTACAGATATTATCCTAGTCTTTGTTGATCTAGTAAAACAAATCATCTGAACTGCAGGACGATTTGGAGAACCTAGATCATCTGGTATACGTGGACATAATCAAACTTTATCCATAGACACTATGAATCTGTTTGGACATATTTTGATACTACAGGGTTGTTCTGCAATTTATTTTGCTGAGATTCAGTAAAACAATTACCGAGACTCAGCTAACAAATAACATTTTACTGAGATATCAGCTAACAAACTGATATTTTGCAAAGATATCAGCAAAAGTTACTGCCGAAGTAATCGGCTGTTGGAGATTTTACCGAGCTAGATTAAGTGTGTACAGACTTCATCCCAGTCATGGTTGATCTAGTAGAATAAATCATCTGAACTCCAGAACGAATTTCCAGCCCGAAAGATTCCTTCGACTTGACCGGGAATCGAACCCGCCGCCTCCGGCTTAGTAATACCGTTCCTTTACTGACTAGGCTATGAGGCTCAGAACGATTTGGAGTACTTAAAACATCTGGTATACAAGACAATAGTTCATGCATGATCCACATAGACACTGTGCATCTGTCTGGAAATATTTCGATACTAAAGACATTGTCCCAATCTCGGTTGATCTAGTAGATCAAACTAACTGAACTCGAGGACGATTTGAAGAATTTTGAACATCTGGATTACTCGGAAATAGATCATGCATGATCCACATAGACACTGTGCGTTGTCTGGAAATATTTCTGAACGATTTGGAAAACCTATAATTTCCGGTATACATAATAATAAGTCGCGCATGATCCACAAAGTCACATATACACGATTCGGTTATGATTTGACAGCGAAAAGAGGTAGGTTCATATTAGAAAAAAAAAAATATCATGAAAATGTCTCACCATTGGACAGACCCCAAGGAACATCCGTGTAAATACAGAACCGCGATGGGACCAACAATTGTGACTTTTGAAACTCTGATAATTTCTCGATTATGTGCAGGGTGTTTGGTTTGAATCGGTTAAAAATTGAGAAAACTAGAGCCAAATTACTACAACATTTAGGACAGCAAAATACGTCCCTGGTTAATTTTCAAAAAAATGTGCATTTCAAATGAAAATGCATTACATTTTTTTAAATAATATTTCATCAAATCTAGGCCGGTATTATTAAATAGAATCTCATAATTTAAGGGTGTTTTATTATGTTCACTAATTACTCAGAATTTATACCATACATCAATAACTATGATACAATGTTATTTTTTTTTAAATTCAAAGGTTACAAACGATACTCAGCTCAGTCGGTAAAGGCGCAGCTACAAACTAAGTCCATGCTGGAGGCGACTGAGTTCTATTCCCGTCCGGTCTATTAATTTTTCGGGTTGGAAAAATTCTCTACTTCCTTGTTCATAGGATGGTACAGACATAAAAAGCTCTCAATTAAAATGTGTAAGTACTTCAAAAAACACTAAGGCAAAAATCTAATATGCTATAAGCAATAAGCTTGAAATGCCATGTAGTAGTGTACAAATGCTATTTTTAGGCAATGAAAACAGTTTTTTTTGTCTCGGATTATTTTGTCGCGGATCAAATTTAGAAAATCTTGTAACAGCCCTGCAATTGTAAACCACATATCAAATCAAAAATAAAGAAGAATATTACTACTACTACTACTAATACTACGTTGCGTAGATTGCCTTGGAATGATCCGTTTCGATTACCCAGTTACGAAAGCCGTTGTCAACTTATCGACCTAGAACTTTTTCGGACTAGAAGAGACACAAGCAGAGCCCTAACCGTGGCCGATATCCTGCAAGGAAGGACAGATTGCGAGGCTATCCTGAGGCAAATTGACCTGAATTTTCAACCCCGACCGCTTTGTAATAACCTTATGCTAAGACTGCCTCTATGTGCTATGTGACTATGCTTGAATGTATGTTTTTGCTATAGTTGATAAGGTTAACATCATTGGGGCTTCATCCAGCCTGTTGATGTAAAACAACAATAATCACAAAATGAAAACTGTTCCACAATATTGAAGAAAGTGAAGAACCATTAAAACCATTAAGTATTTATGCCTAACTTACCTTTTTTTCTTTATTAAAGATACTTTCAGCCTTGTGCTGGTTCGTCTCTGGAACGCCTAACTTACCTTATTGTCTAACTTCGAAACTTTTTCTTGATATCTGATCTCTCGTATCTACATGTTTCTGATTGTGTAATCGCAATACGAGCTAAAAAGCTACAGTGACCTAGTGAGCACCATAGCTCGAGTCGTCTGTCAGTATTGTGTACTATATAGAGAGCCCAACCGAGATAATATCCTATTCAGACTGCATTTGGTAAAACCTCGAAAAAAAAATCACCTAACACCAACAAGGTTCAAAATAAATACCCTGACTCACTAAATATTTTGGAAATTGCAACTTACCTTACTTTTTTTTTGACTCGGATATCAGAAGAGAAGAGGTTTTCTCTACCTTGTAACAATCATGAAAATTAACAAACCAGGTAGGGGAATTTACGTATTCTCGTCAATCTAAGCAGCGTCTGCACTTCTACTAGCATTTTCTCAGCGTCACGCACATATATGATGTGTCTGTTTGTTTACATTCGACTGCTGCTTGCTTCTCTATCCATTCCAATCGACAGAATTTTTCAAAACGTTTTGAAAGCGATTTAACAACGCTCCAAACTTCTCAGGTGAGTGTGACTATTGTCGGCAGCCTCTTTTTCTTCGGCAACCTTCCCATTAGAACTGCGTGTTAACCAGCTGTTCTATTATCGGCAACTCGAAATCAACCCCATTTTGTAGTGCGTATGCTTTATTTGAAGAAAAATGTAGCATTACTGGATTGCTCGATCGTTCAAATATAATCAGATTGAAGCTGAAAGGCTAAACAATCGTTTGGACACATTCAGGGAAGTGCGTTGATGGGAAAACATAGTGAAATTAACGTTTAAATTTAGGTTGCCGAAAACAGTCAATGGGTGCCGAAGCCAACATTTACCCTATTATTGTTTTCAATGAAAATACTGGTGGAATTGTCAGCATTAAAATTCTTAACATTGCTCTTGCACGCTCTTTATTATTTAAAAATGCTCACATCGTATCACATTGTTGCCAAAGTAGACTTCGTTCTTAAGCAAATGACTGAATACCGGTAATCGCTCGTCCCAAGATCAGAGCATGAATATCGTGGGTACCTGAAAAGAAAATGTAATCATTCCTTGTCCCGCGAGCAACCACCTAAAATAGTCACTATAGGGTAAGTGAGCTAGGTTTTGGTCAATATTCACTAAATTTATTTTGATACAAGGTCAGAACATATATTTTACAATATATCTACGCAAACCATGAAAATTGCATTCACTTTGATTCAGACCCTAGGGCCACACATAAAAGCACTAGTGACAAAACTGGTACACTTACTCTATATTGAATATAGTGACTATTACCCATATTCTTGTTTTCTTTCGAACCATTTTTCCAAACATTTTTTTTACGGTCCGAACGAAGACAAGAATATGGGTGCATACTTAAAATGCTGCTTACCTTCATACGTGTTCACGGCTTCCAGATTCATAACGTGTCGAATAATGTGGTACTCATCGGAAATGCCATTGCCACCCAGCATATCCCGGGCAACACGGGCAATATCCAGCGCCTTGCCAGCGTTGTTTCTCTTCAGCATCGAAATCATCTCCGGCGTGTGCCTTCAATTAGAACGGAAATTGTCAACGATCATTTTAAGAACTACCACATGGAGGCTCTTACAATTTCTGATCCTTCAGACGACCCACATGCAAGCAAGCCGTCAGTCCCAAGCTGATCTCCGTCAACATATCGGCCATCTTCTTCTGCATCAACTGGTTCGCTGCCAGTGGTTTCTTGAATTGCTTCCTATCCAGCGTGTATTGCCTGGCCACCTTCAAGCAAGCTTCCGCCGCCCCCAGAGCACCCCATGCAATTCCATAGCGGGCATTGTTCAGACAACCGAATGGTCCTCGCATTCCGGAAACATTCGGCAAAATGTTGTCCTCCGGAATACGGACCTCATCCATCAGAATCATTCCGGTATCGGAAGCCCGGAGCGAAAATTTTCCCTGGATCTTCGGCGTCGACAGTCCCTCCGAACTCTGCTCACGATCGACGATGAATCCTCGAACTTTGCCATCTTCGGTTTTACCCCACACGATGCACACGTCCGCCACTGGTGAGTTAGTGATCCACGTCTTGCTACCCGACAGCACGTAGGTCTTAGTTTTCGGATCGTGCACGGCTCGCGTTTCCATCGAAGAAGGATCACTGCCGTGGTTCGGTTCCGTCAAGCCAAAGCAACCGATCAGTTCACCCTTGGCCATTTTAGGGAGATACTTTTCCTTCTGTGCCTCGCTTCCGTAATCATAGATGGCACCCATGCAGAGGGAACTCTGAACGCTAAAGGCCGACCGATAACCGGAATCGATGCGCTCGACCTCGCGGGTCAGTAGCCCGTAGGCAACATTACTCACGCCGGTGCAGTCGTAACCCTTGATGGTGCAACCCAAAACCCCGAACGATCCCAGCTCTTTCATAATCTCTTTGTGGAACACTGCAAAGAGTAAGTAAATCGAGATCAGTTGCGTCAACATTTATGGTCACCTAACTCCGCCTTACCTTCATCCCTGTTGGCCAGAATTACCCGGGACATGAGCTTGTCCTCGCAGTACACTCGGAACGAATCCCGGATGGCAATCTCATCCTCCTTTAGTTGTGATTCCAAGTTCAGTGGATCCTCCCAATTGAAGGTAGCTTAAAGTACAGAAATAGACTTCACATGATTTACAGCAGATGGAATCAAAAGTAAGTCTACTGAAGCATCTCCAAAGTAAAGGACATTATCTTATCGTCTACCAGTCAGGTTGTTTTGCACAAATTGTTCCCATCCCAATCGTCGACGTCGTCGTAGCTTTTCAAACAGTGATTGCGCTCTCAATGGGGCGAAAGATAAGCGCATACTCCGCTGGATTGCGTTTCGCTTAGTAGCAGAGCTGAGAGCAGTGTCCACCGGGGGGGCTCGTTCAGATAGACGATAATTAATCCTCGCTCGGTGCGTAACCGGAAATTATTCTAATAATTCATATACTTACGTTGGTGGCTGGATGAGGCGAAAGCTGTGGGTGGAAAACTAGTGATTATGACCGACCTTGAACTTGGTAATATTTCACACTCACCTCTTTGGGCATTGCTAATTTTACCCAAGCTCCGTAGTTGGTGGGACAAAATACGTAAGGCCATTTTGGCGTTTAAAAAAGGAAGCTAAAGTCAATATTGGCAATCAAAATAAGTCCAGTTGCATCACAATATCCAGGTCGAATGTGTGGGTTTGAAAGTAGACCCGTTTTACCAGACACTCAACCGGTCCAACTCACTTTTGATTTCGTACTAAGCTCAGTGCGTTGGTTTCGTCGTCGGTGCTGCTATGTTCTGCGTTCTCTCCTCTCGTTTTTTTACTGATAACAAAAATAACCAAATAACAAGTTTTGTCTGTGTGTTACGTATAGGCAAATATGTGTCTGTATTAAAATAGCGATACAAGCTGACATTAGTGTTTATTAAATATCTAGCATGCAAGTTCTACTGCTACTTAGAAAACATGAGCATTAGGGTGGGTCAAGTTTGTATGGCGGATTACAACCCTCTGTTCTCCACTGCTCTTTCAATCTGTATTCAGGTCCCCAACAACTGTCAGGGTGACCAGTGAACCGGGAAATTGGGAAAAAGAAGTTAATTTCGATGACAAATCGGCAAAAAGTAGGATTCCGAACCTTTAAACAATTTCAATACCCTTGGACTGGATTTTCAGGATACAGTCACTTTGATGAACTAAATATTTTAAGCGAATGTTGAAGAGAATTTAGAAATAAATCTGAAGATCTGAGAATGTATTTCGTAGAATAATAACAACAGATTTTTTTTTGAAGAGGTCTAAGAGAGATTTAACTAGAACTCGTTTACAGTATGAGTTCAGAGTAGAATCTTTAGGTAGTTGTGGGAAATTTTATGACGATTGTGAAGAGGTCCATTTCTAAACTGAATATTCCAAACAAGTTTTGAGATTAATTTCAAAAGAGTTGTAATGATAAGTAAATTCCGAGAGTATTGACTTCCTAAAAAAAATAATTGAATGATAATTTCAAGTTAATTCTAAAGAGGGTTACCAGGAAATCCAGTGATAAATACCAAGCGAATTGAATTCCATAGGAATTCTGAGAAGAGCTTTAAAAGAATTTCCATAATAATTCCAAAGGCATCTCATGAAAAATTTCTAGTGAACTCCAAGTGATTTTTTTGAAGAATATAAAGGAGAGCTCCAGGATAAAAATAAACAGAATTGTAAGACAATTAAGAGGTGGAAATTCTAAGGAGAATTCAGACTAATTTTAAATATAATTCGAAGCTAATCTTAGGATGATTTTCTATATAATGTTGTGTAATGTTGCAAAGAAATATTCAAGCGATTCTCAGAGAGATTCTCAAATTTACTTTAGAGATCTTCTGAAAATAATTCTGTGAAGGGAAATGATTCTGAAGAAAATTTTAGAACCTTTCATAAAAACCCTGTAAATAAATCTGAGCAAACTTTTTTAAGGTAGTTAAAACTAGAAATACTCAGAGGGAGAGATGGGCGGAGAGAATGTTTTGAGCCAAATGAATTCTCGCGTCACTTTTCAAATAGACCAATGTAACAAATGTAAACAAACCGAGTTAAGTGATACAAACTGTTGCTCTTCTATCATTGTATATCATACAAAAACATCCATCCAAATTCACTTTCATTTATTTAAGATAATCATAGGTAAAAAATTGTCCAATGTACACTTTGAAATGATGGGTACATGATTGTTACTTCGGTCATTCGGACTGCTTAACATGATTAGTGCTCATTTTCCAATGGCGGGGCCAATCTAAAGTTAGGTGCTATACTCTGAAATCTGTGAAAGGGAATCTAGTATCATGTAGACAAAACGTCGAATGTAACACTGATTGATTATGTCATTGAGAAAAATCGTCCAATGTAACATTTCCGATGTACAACTCGACTTGTCAAAACGTCCTATGTGGTTTTTTCTATGTTGTAGCATGACATTCAAAGTAAATTTGTGATTTTACCGTTTCTTCTGAATTTTCAACGTTATTATACACTGGCTACGTTAAAAATAGTATTGCAAAATGTATTGTTTTTAAACAGTTAAATTAATTATCTGTCGAACTTCAACTTCGATTTTCTCAAAATGGTGGATATGTTACATTGGTCTATTTGAAAAGTGACGCGAGAATTGTCTAAATCTGAGCCAATCGAACATTCCCATTAGAATTTTTCCGATGATTTCTTATTTTTACTAGAATAAATTTGAGAGTATTGCAATCGAACAGAAATTCAATCACCTTTATGTTTTGTGTGCTTCTCAAATTGAACTAGTTTTTGGAATCAAAAACAATATTCTAACTCTATTGATTAATTGATCTTCGTTGGTTAATTAATGGCACCGAGAAATGTGCAAAATATTGCGATGCAATCAATTATTATTTTGCACGTAAATCGAATCAAAAATAAAAGCCATGTGAAATGCTAGCTTCTAGCAAGGGTTGCAAGATAATTTAGGTACAAACCCCTGCTGCCGAATTGTATTTTGTTTTCTCCGCCTATCTCTCCCTCTGAGTATTTCTAGTTAAAACATAAACAAATTTTAACGACTTCAAACGTAGAAGCAAACCGAATGCGATTGAGCCGAAGAGATCACTCCGTTAAAATGATCATTACTTAGACAGCAGATATTTTCCTAGAATTGTTTAATTATCAAAATTCCTCGATAGATGAACCAGCGAGTCTACGGTTGAAAATCTCCTAAATAAAGAAAATCAAACAAACCCACCAAAAATTCCGGGATTGCTAAAATTTCTAATCTTAATTTGCTGGCAACATGAACTGTGCCAAATTTGATTACAATGTGGATTTGCGGGAGACCTTTAAAGTTTGTATCTAGATAGAGCTGGAATTAGGGCGTAACAGCTTTTGTAAACAATGACTTCTCTCGATTATGACCATCGGGTATGGGAAGGCTTCCCCTACCTGATGGTGATATTGATTTGCTTGGGCGAGTCTTGAGTTTCTAGAAATCATCGAGGGAAGTCATTGTTTACAAAAGCTGTTACGCCCTAATTCCAGCTCTATCTACACAGAAAAAAAAAGTTGTTGAATATTACATCCAAACTGCTGCAACCAGGTCAATCCATCGGTTGTGTAATATAACGTTGTACGATGTACATCGATTTTGCGAACAAAATTACATCCATTGATGTAATATTGCATCTGCTTTTTGCTATTACATCATTATTTCATACATCAGCTTGAATTACATTGATCGATATTACATTTTTTTTTTGCTGTGTAGGTATATGGGAAATTTTATGGGAAGCGAACCAAAACAACTATAGATGAATTATTCTTAAAAAGGTCGTATCTGCTTTAGATTCTGTTCATCGACACACGGTTATGCAAACAGATTTCGCGCTATTTTTGTCACATAGTTTGATGGATGAGGTTCTCATCTAGCGTCCAAAACGTCAAAAACGACAGGGAATGTTTTTACAGCAGAGTTATTTACGAAAGAAAAACCGATGAAGAGAATCGATCAAAGCCGATGGGATCTTTTGAAATGTTCATTTGCTTGTCAGAAAATTCATAAGTTGCTCAATCCTAGCGGAATAATGCATAAGGTCGTAAATATCATTGGCAGATTCTCTTAGGCCATTCGCAATGATGTTGTATTTTATATCGAGGGGGGCGAAACATCTAAAACGCTGTCCAGACTGGAGAGTTATAACATGTTATAACGGTTGTCAAATAATTGCAACACAGAGACCACCATCAAGATAGCGCTATAACATGTTATAACTCTGTAGTCTGAACGTACTATAAATCTCAATTGTAGATGCTCAAAATATCTCACACTAGTGAATTAATTTTCGAAAAATCTTCTTTCATTTCGCGCATCTACTTGCATTGCGCATCATCTTTTTGCAGGAAATCTTCAGATTTATCATCAATCTTCTTTCTATCTACTCAGCGTGCGAGCAGCTAGCCACAGCAAAACACAATATTTTCTCCATCGTAGATAGAGTCGTCCCCCTCGTTTTATATGTACTGTTTCAATTTGAAACTAGAACGCACCCCTCGTAATACTAAGGCCGTTCGCAATGCTGTTGTATTTTATAAGGACTGTTTCAATTTGAAACTAGAACAGAAACGCACCTCTCGCAATGCTGAGTTGCAGTTTCATTATTCGAGCACTATTTTGCACCAGATTTGCAACTGCTCGACAATTCTGTTTTATTTCTGAGCGAGTTTGAAACACGAATGGAACTCTGTTTCAAATTTCTGTATGTATTTAAAGATTTTTCGAAGAGCTTCACAAAAAAACTCTATGAACTTCATAGAGAACAGTAAATTTTATGGAACTTGGTGATTACAAACATCTTTTAGAACTGTGCGTTGCGCTGATCGTGTTGCAGTTTTATTTTTGACAGTTTCAAATTATAGAATTGTCAAGTCGTTTAAAACAATTTTGAAACTCAGCATTGCGAACGGCCTAAGGCCGTTCGCAATGCTGTTGTATTTTATAAGGACTGTTTCAATTTGAAACTAGAACAGAAACGCACCTCTCGCAATGCTCAGTTGCAGTTTCATTATTCGAGCACTATTTTGCACCAGATTTGCAACTGCTCGACTATTCTGTTTTATTTCTGAGCGAGTTTGAAACACGAATGGAACTCTGTTTCAAATTTCTGTATGTATTTAAAGATTTTTCGAAGAGCTTCACAAAAAAACTCTATGAACTTCATAGAGAACAGTAAATTTTATGGAACTTGGTGATTACAAACATCTTTTAGAACTGTGCGTTGCGCTGATCGTGTTGCAGTTTTATTTTTGACAGTTTCAAATTATAGAATTGTCAAGTCGTTTAAAACAATTTTGAAACTCAGCATTGCGAACGGCCTAAGGTTGCAGTTTAATTATTCGAGCACTATTTTGCACCAGATTTGCAACTGCTCGACTATTCTGTTTTCTGCGAGGGTTTGAAACACGAATGGAACTCTGTTTCAAATTTCTTTGGATGTATTTATACGATTCATCCCTCGAAACATAGGAAAATCCAATAACCCCTCATTTTATCTGTCAAACTTTCATAGCGAATCAAAACAAACATTGTGTAGTACTAGAATTTCGACTAGAATCGGGTACGTTAATCGATTTGCTTGGAGCCAATAGGCTAGTCAAGTAGTGAGCCAATTTAAAATCGTTAGTTTCGTATTGATTGTTGGAGTAACTCTGATTTGCTCTGATCTGCATCGGAAAAATAAAGAACAAGGCATATCTCGCTTAAAATGTGAAAGGGGCCTATAATCAAATGTAAACAAATTGGTTTTTGATACCATTCTATAGCACCGCTTGATAGCTACCAATTAACCACTTCATTCGAGCAGTTAAAATGACGTTTACTACCACTCGAACTTTGAAATAAAACATTATTTTGAGATTTTTTCTTATAAAACCACGAGAAAAGTAGCCAACATTTGTGAGTTTCATAAAAAAAAAATTAGTTGGGCCAGTTTTGAGAAATCGCTGGTAGAAAGTCACGCCAAAACTGCTTGGTCAAGTTGTGGTCAATTGTGTAGGAATGATCCGCATACCCAGTAAAATTTATTATAAATAACTCGATTTTTTTTTCTCGGAAAACTATTGGAGAGGATCATTCTAAACAGGCTGATGAAATACACGGAGAGTGAGCAATAATTGTTGGAGAGGTAGTTCAGATTTCGAAAAGGAAGAGCAAAAATGGATGCAATTCGTACAGTTGTCGAGAGAGCCGAGAAGGCGTCGAAATAGAAGTGGAGAGGAGATCGATATTACGCTGTGATAACGATCGACGTCAAGAATGCGTTCAACAGCTCTAGCTGGAAGGCCAACGCTTCATCCTGAACCGGGTTCAGATCTACGAGCCAAATATGGGACAGATATCGATTAGGATCACGGTGGGAATTCCACAAGGCTCCATCCTTGGTCCAACGCTCTGGAACGTGATTTAAAAAGGCGGTCTAACACTGAAGCTACCCGAACGAGTTGAGATCGTTGGCTTTGCGGACGACGTCGTCTTACGGTGACAGACAAGACGCTGGAATAGATGGAAATGATTGGAAACCTAATGCATGGAGCGAAGCTGCAGATAGCCCACAACAAAAGCGAGGTGGTATTTATCAGTAACTTTAAAGCGCTGCAGCGGTCAGAAATTACCGTTGGGGAGCACGCAATAAACTAGAAGAGGGTGTTGAAATGCCTGGGAGTGATGGTCGACGACCGTTTGGCTTCAATAGCCACGTAGAATACGCCTACGAGAAGGCAGCGAAGGCCATCAACGTGGTAGCCAGAATCATACCGAACATCTCGGGAAGGCTCCTGGCTAGTGTATTTACGACATTTGAACAAATTTAACAAGATTTTTTATGAACACTGCCTTATTTGTCTTCGTTATTAGAGAACGAATAACTCAAATTTAACTATCAATAGTTACTCCCTCCGTAATGTTCAATTTAGAAAATTCGAATCATTTAAAACGTATCAGTAACGAGATAACGCAGTCCTGTCGTCCTACAAAATGAATCCTTGCAGTTGACATCTATCGGATGAACTGATGGTTTTACTACAAAGACTGTCATCCCTTACATAACCCGCATTTTGACATAACACCAGCTGCTGAGGATTTTCATTCATAACTATTTATCCTGCCGCGATATGATGTGAGCCGAGCCAGAGTGCTCTGTATCTCTGCCACAAAAGAGATCTCGCATCAGAATCGCCGAAGAGAGAATAGGTAATAGAATACCCATATCCATATTCATCCATGGCATCTAGCATCACACGCGACGACCGACCGTGGGGAGAGCAAAGTGATACAGACTTTTCAGTTCTTTCCGCTCATCGATACCGAACACATCCAGGAAGGAAAGGATCTCTATCGCGTTACCTTACATTTGACAGGAATTGATGGTGTGTGGTGTGATGGTGGCGTAATACTAAGCAGCACTTATCTGACAAAATTGTTTAAGAAGCGAGTGGAATTGGAATTTTCGCTTTTCCGAATGGTGAAAATCAGGAACCACACTCGAGTAGATCGAGTGTGAAAAAGGATCGGAAAATAGCGCAGGGGAAGAGGTCAAATATACATAGTTGTGCATGTGTGTTGTGATATAAGAAGAGTTCCTTGAACTGGTTCTTCAGTGGATTGAAAAGAGCACCGGATAGCAGTGTAGCAATAAAATTAGACGGATAACGAAGGTTCCTCGTGGTCAATTGATTGGAAATAACATATAGCCTTTTAAATGAGCTATTACCGTTCCTGGACCATTGGTCTGTTGTCGTCGTACTGAAAACCAACCCTGAACCAGTGACCTGCAGTCAAGTGCGGTGAGGTAAGAAGGATTATTGACTTTTCCCCAGTGAAAAAATCGAACTCAGGTACCAATTCATGAGCGGCGCAGCGAAAGACCACTTCCTTGCTTTTTTTTTCGTGTGAACCAATCCTGATTCAATCGATAAACAATTCCTCTATGCTTATAGAAAGATCTGCACGAAGCGCTGCTTTCCTCTTCGGCAGCAATATTTTTTGCAATGCAGGCCGTAATTCATTCGATTCGAACGTGAAAACAGTGGGCTGCAGGAACCTGAAAATCTATATCATCTTATCATCTACGTCAGAGGAGGACAGTGGCAGTGGCGTGAGGGCGGTGACGACCCACACACGAGGCGCAATCATTCCTCGATCCATTGGGCTGCGATTAGCATTATCATTTTCTATGTGTGGTATATGTACTACCATTCTAATGGCATGGCAGCATAGGAGGCCTCCGCGCTGCTATCCAACAAGCATAAATCAATACACTTTTTGAAGTTTCTCCACGAATGATGGTGAAGGTTCTTTACTCGTGGCGCACACCATACGAGTGTATGCGGGATTCAGCTTTCTGCCTTCTGCCTGCGATTGCTAATGCCCGTGGAGCTTCGCATGGATGTCCCACGTGCTGCATGAGAAATTTAACATGTTTAGTACCTATAACAGTACTATTCAGAATTTTGTCAATTTTACATAACCTTGGTGGTACAAATTCTTTTCCATTCGGCAACTAAATGGATTATTTATAGTCTGTTCCATTTAGGATTTGGTCGTACGAAATGGGTCATTTATCCAAGAGGAAATAAAAACGCTAAGTGTATCATTTTGTATTTTTTTTTTAAATTAGATTTAAGGTAAAAATACAAGAAACATTATTCGTCAGCTTTTCGGATGAATTTTTGAACTTTTTGCTGAATACCTCATGTCTCATGTCTTGCACAGTCTTCATCGATGGCAGACACGCTGCTGGCAGTGGCGGTAGTTTCGGGTCGCGTTCGGATGTAAAGCAAAAAAAAAATAGAATTGCAGCTGGTGAGTTTTTTTAACTTGATATTCGTAGCTACTAGGAAACACAATATAGTCAAGAAGTAACAAGCTGCAAAGGCCGTGAAGTCCAACTTAATTCCTAGTTCTTAAAAATATATCACGGAATCTCTGACGCAGCGTCTCGCGTGCCAAGAGAAAATCAAATAAGGAAGCAACACGATTGAAAAACCCTTTGTAGCCCATTGATAGCACCATACGAACTATAGTTTGTATGACGAAAAGGTATCGAATTGCGTTGTTACGGAGTGCTCGTGGTTGAACGTTAACGTGGATTTCGAATCGATTGTGCCCTGTAGAATGTCTGTCACAAACAGAGCCCTTGTCGTATCTCTTCGACTCCAGAAAGGATCCAGGTGAATTAACTGGCACCGACTTTCGTAGCTTGGAAGGCGATGAGGATCCCTCCAAGGCAAACGTCGAAGGGCAAACCAGATGAATCGTCGTTGAATAGACTATACTCTTTGTACACTGTTTTGGTACAATTAGGATTCCATACAGGGCAGCAGTATTCTAACACCGACCGGACGAGGGAGTAGTAAAGCGACTTCAAACAGTAGATGTTCGTGAAAATTTAAGCCATCCTGAATGTGGAGCGGAGCGTTCTGGATGCCTTGTCGATCACGTACGAGATATGCTGGCTGTATGTGAGTTGACAATCTAATAGTGAATTCGTTTATTATTCAGTTCCAACCTGGATCGGGTATCAAGATTGGGTCTGCTTGTTTTCTGACAAACGTCAGTTTGCTCGTTTGTTTTTAAAACCTAGCTCAGGTTGAGGTTCGCACTGACAAAAAGTTCGGTTTCGCACTGGGTTGGAACTGGTTCCAACCCCGATATTAAACGAATTCGCTATAAGATGACTCCCAGATCCTTAATGCGATTCACACGATGTACGTCACGCCTTCTAGGATATAACTGAATGTAATTGGATGTTTCTTTCGTGAGAACGTGATTACTAAACATTTTGTTGGATTTACAACCATGCGGTTCAGTTGGCACCAATTAGCAAAAGCGTTGAGTTGGACTTGGAGAAGGTGGCAGTCAGCGATGGCTCGGATTCGGAGATAGATTTTCATGTCGGCTGCGAACGACAGTCGTGGACCGTCGAGGACGAAATTGACGTCATTGAAATACACAAGAAATATCAACGGGCCGAGGTGGCTACCTTGCTGAATACCCGAAGTGGCAGGGAACGAAGGAGATCGGCAGTCGTCAACTGCAACTTCCAACTGACGATCAGATAGATAGGATGCGAACCATCGTAGGAGACTGCCGTTTATACCGAGCCAATCCAGTTTGACGATCGCTATAGGATGGTCCAACTTGTCGAAGGCGGCTGATAGGTCAGTGTAGATGACATCTGTTTGCATATGGTCTGTCATACTCTTCGTAATGTATGAGTTGTGACACAGAAGGTTGGAAGTAGTCGACCGCTCTGCCATGAAATCATGCTGGTCTTCGCTCAAGTGCTGCTTGAAGCAGGAGGCTAATGGTTCCATAACGACCAACTCGAACAGTTTAGATATGGCACACAACGATGTGATGCCGCGATAGTTGTCGATGTTTCTTTTGCATCCCTTCTTATGCACTGGAAACATCTCAGCTGATTTCCAGCAGGAAGAAAACACCCCACTGGAGAGGGACATTTCGAACAGAAGGCAGAGAGGAGCCACCAGGCTATCGATGTGTTGCTTGAGAAAGATGGAAGAAACTCCGTGAGGTCCAGGCTTAAATGAAGACTTCAGTTGCGAACCCGCCCTAGTTATCATAGCGAGATCGATGTTGATAACTGTCAAAGATTGACCAAACATTGGAACATTACTGGCTGCTATAGAGAAATGTGCTCGTTAGGTAGGTTCTCATCCGATAATACACTCGCAAACTTGGTTGAGAACAGACGTCAAATGTCCTGAGGGGATGAAGCTACTTCGCCGTTCAGTACCATAGTTGATGGAAGGCGAGACTCCTTTCTTTGCTCATTCACATAATTCCAAAAAGTTTCCGGGTGAGATCGAAGCTTCCATTGAACATCTCGTTGATAACGCCGATAACATTGCACACTGGGCCAGGAACCGAAATTAGCAAGACAAAACCTCTAGCGCATTGGGTTTGCATTATATTGAAATGGTGTCTTTAGCAAAGTTTCTCGGTTTAACATGCGCCTTCATCTGGTAATGGAAATTAGTTCAAATTTTATCCGCATAGATGGTGCTGCGATACTAACTTTCTTATTTCACATGCTAGAGGTTTTGTGTCTTCAACAAAGTTGTAGAACATTAAAAAATATAAAAATTGCCGAAGAACTCAAAGTTTTAGGTCTTCAAACAACAAATATATAGTGAATATTGTAAAATTTAACTGAAATTTACGTTTTTTGTACTATTTTCCATACAAACGACAAATCCTTCATTTTTTACGCCGTGCATCTTTTAAGTCGGATAATTTGCAAGTTTTAAGGAAGAGTTCCCAATGTTTTGGGTCCATACAAGCGAAATATTAGCCAAAATAGTGAAAATTACCATGATCTTCATAATCCGGTTTCTCGAAAAGTAGCAAGTTTTAGCAAAAAGTCATTTACTTTCTGAAATGTACCATTTATCGTCAATCAAAGGTGAAAGTTTGCCGGACATATAATTTTATATATTTGAGATATCTGAATCCATAGACTACAATGTTTATTCCAGCAGCGTTCGCCAACGCACGGCTTGCTGGCTGCATGCGATAGAAACGATGCAATATGTCTCTTATGCTTCGCTAGCTGCACGTTGACGAACGCTGTACTAATGTATGCACAAAGTTTCTTCATGTTCATGTTCATTCTAGAACATGTGTGTGTGTGACAAAAGTCGATGATGATAGTTGATAGAGCAGTGCACCGTCCCTAACCTCGCTTTTTAGCTCCAAATTTTTTTTTCTCTGAGTAAAAGAGATGGCAACGAATGGAAGCCGAAACTGTCAACATTTACGGATGAGAGAAAAGTGCAGCAAATCTTCGTGCACTGATCTAATGTTGAAATGAGAATACACATGTACTACTTACTGATTGACCAACTGAAAATGTAATTACGAAAACGGAAGCTCTGTTATTTCGAAGTAATGTTGACTCTTCCGGTGGATTATAGTTTGTGTTATTTTGAAGTATATAACTGATAATTATGGCAGAAGGAAGGTTATTTTTAACGAGGGGGGCGACACATCTAAATCTCAATTATAGATGCTCAAAAAATCTCACACTAGCGAATTAATCTTCGAAAAATCATCTTTAATTTCTCGCATCTACTTGCATCGTGCTTTATTTTTTTGCAGGAAATCTTCAAAATAGACATAAATCTTCCTTCTATCTACTCAGCGTGTGTGCAGCTAGCCACAGCAAAACACAATCTTTTCTACATCGTAGATAGAGTCGTCCCCCTCGATTTTTAATTGTTCAGAAGGTATTTATTTCATTATTGAAAATAAAAGTATGCAGCGTGAGTGTTCGGGAAATCGTGACATTATTTTCCAAAAAATATCGCTCGTTGATCTGGCATCGCATGTGAAAAAGAAAATTATTTGTCCCGAAAGTGAATCCTTTGAACAGTCCTTTCACAAATCGCTTAGATTTCTAAAAGCAGACTTTGATTCACGTTATGCCAAGCCCTGTCGCAACAAGCGTTTGTTTTTCCAAAAATATACAAAATGACTGGATTCCCACTTCAAAGTTCAGGACGATAGTCCAAAGAAAAATGTAGGTGCAAGACCAAAAAATCTTTTTGTGAAGATAGCCAAAGAATAATCAAGTGCCAAACCAGAGATCGAATGATTTACTGCTGACGATGCTTTGCGATTTTTTGTGCGAAAATGATCTTACAATAAAAGAAGAGTTCAAGAAAATAGGACTGAGAATAAGTGAACCGTTACCATCTGGAGGTAATTTCATTTTATCGTCTTGTTACCTTACATTACGAATACATTTTCATTTCATCAGGTAATAGTAATGATGGCAACACCGCCAGATGATTATTTCAGAATCCAGAAACAACCCAGACAACCAGAATGCACGTATATTCAGAATTGTTTTCGTGATATACAAACATATATACAAACAAACAATTCGTATAGAATGCAAATAAATGGCTTATACGTACAAAAGTGGAGGCCATATACGTGCATATTTTAATTTAATTTTAAACGAGTTGATTTAACATCATATACGATTTAATCTGTAATAACAAATTCATTTTGAAAAGTCTTACGATGTAATCCGATTTAATTTGTGATACAGTACGACGGAAAAATAACCCTAATAAAAATTGTATGGTTAATTTGCTTAACGACGTGTTCTGGGTATCATCCAAACCATTTGTGGAATAGTTCAATGATTTGGGTTATCGTTCGTTTATGGTTATTTTTTTATTAGGGAAGTCATCGCATATAGGTCGGAAATTTGCATTCTATACGATTTAACTTAAATATAATGCAAGGTATGCCATTCTTATATGCGATTTTGACTTAAACTGTAGCAATTTACGATACTCTCTGTACATTGTTATACGACTTCTGGTTGTCTGGGAACGGCAGGAATTGAGAAGGATATCCTTCGTTGATTTGTTACAATTCTGTGTGCGGTATCTAGCAAGCATGAAATCGAAGTAAAGGCGTTCGAAACCTACGCAGAAGAGACTAGAAGGTTGTTTGTCCATTATTATAGTGTTTACACTTTGTCACCTACGGTACACAGGGTCTTGGTGCATGGCCCGACAATCATAAGCCATTGTGATATTCCGATTGGTTTATTATCCGAAGAGGCGCAAGAGCGACGAAACAAATCCATCAGAACATATCGGGAGTACCATCCTCGACAATTCAGTCGTCTTGCAAAAATCGAGGACGTATTCCATCGACTTTTGCTGACCTCTGACTCGGTTATAACAGTGCAGAAACAGTTTCCTCAAACCAAGAAAAAGCAATTCCCAGGACCCGTGCAAATGCTGTTGCAATAATCGACAATGCAAGATAACAGGTAGTTGTTCGAATTAAAAAAAAATACTTTGAATCTAGATATCTCATCACACAAGCACACATCGACAGTGAGCATGCATAAGGGCCTATACGCGATGATCGATTCTCTTCGTCGATTTTCTCTTTTGTTAATAACACGCTAGATTTAACGTTTCTCGGTGCGTTTGCTGTTGCTTTTGATAACCAATACAACCTGTTACTACTATGCATTGAACAAATTCTAGAAAATTGTTTCGCTTAGCTGTAGCAATGCAAATAGAAAATCGATGAAGAGAATCGATCATCGCGTATTCGCCCTTATGCATGCTCACTGTCGACATGTTCGAGAATATACATGAAGAAGCTTTGTGCATACATTAGTACAGCGTTCGCCAACGTGCAGCTAGCGAAGCATAAAGCGCCCATTACACATGTCAATATATTGACAAACATTGTATTGTCAATTTCCTTACAATATTATCAATACATAAACATTGACAACATTAATGACAATACGCTAAAGCGTTCGTTACACGGGTCAATATATTGACAGTAAATTGAAATACTGACAATATGATTGAAGAGGTAATATTGATGACGATGAATTGATGACGAGTATTGTTGAACAACTGATTTTCATTTCACTTTGTCAATATTCTTCCCCTACCCAAGAGGAGGGAGAACGTACGTCATTTAGATCGACTAACTCACAAAGCACCTTCGCGCATGCTGTGAGGCATGCAGTGTTGCCATTTGTTTAAATTTTCGTGTGTGATATGCAATCGATTTCAAACTAAATAAAAAATGTATCTTTTTACAGTCACCAATCAGCCAGGCTTCGTTTATATGGATGTACATTTTCTACAAAATCACAAGCATAACCATGTTATTTTTTGTAACTTTAAAATAAAATAAATACTATCAGCGTTTCACATACCTACATGTAACGTAAATTAATTATAATATGCATGATTTGCATTTATGAATGTTTACCAAAACATCAGCATGGTAGTTTCTATTTGGGAAACTCCGTACCGTTAACGTGGGGTATTCCACACGTGTAGTAATTCCGCGCACTCGACAATCGATTTGATTAAATTCGATCAATTTGGAAGTACATGTCCTGTGTATTTTCTGTGTCCTGTCAAAAAGTTTCAACATTTGGTATACCAATTTGGTGTTTGAATGACAAATTTACAGCTCACGCAGAATAACCCACGTGGTAACGTGACTCTCCATTTGATTTGCATAGAGAGTCACGACACCACGACGTGACTTTTCTAACTTCGATAGTGACAAAAATCACTTCGACTCTCGGAATAACCCCCTATATGTATGGGTAACATTAGGTAAACATTATTGTTCTAACAAAACAGGAGAGTTCAGTGATATCAAAAATAATATTGGAAGCTATAATTAATCACCTAGTTCTTACATCATTCTGAGAACTTAAGAGTAGGCCTGGAATAGATCATAATTTAACATTATTTATTCTAAAAATCCTGAAAATTAATTTGAAATGAGCAAGTATGAATAAATGTTGGGTGAAAGTTAATTTCTATGTATATCCACTAAACCCGGACTCCGTAATTTGGTAATTTTTGAACTACGGAACTGTTCGGTAAAAGTTTACAAATCAGTGAAAAATTAAAAAAAAAAAAAAAATTTATACCGAAAATGATCGGACCTAGTAGAATATTTAGGGAGGAAACCAAAATTAATCAACTTGCCAACATAGGCTATCACATTTATTTTGGTGGCACTCTTTAAGTGATAATAAGCAGTTTTTTCTCTACGGTGGTTTCGCGTGGAGTTCACAATTTGCGCGATTTTCGTATCTTACGTAATTTAGATGTTTAGCTCTAAACGGTTTTACTAACTCGAGGTCGTTCCTTAAGCGGTGTTGGTACAGGTTAAACCTTTGCCGACTGTCGGATTCAACGCGCCTACGTCTACGGAGCTCACGCAGAAGTGATACGCAATTCGGTAGAGCTTGTCAAACGCTTTTGAGCTTATGTTGTATAGAATTTGTTCGGTGCGGTCGCGAAATCTTGAAATGATTGATACGTTCTTTAAATTAACTAATTTGATACAAAGCTCAGTAGTAAATAAGTGGAATATCTAGGGAGGAAACCAAAATTAATCAACTTGCCAACATAGGCTATCACATTTATTTTGGTGGCACTCTTTAAATGATAATAAGCCTTTTTTCTCGCTTCGGTTGTCTCGCACGGCTTTCGGAATTCGCGCGGTTTTCGTAACTTACATAATTTAGATATTTCGTTCGAACGGATTTACTTATTCAATCGGTTTACTACGCGGATGTATCTACGCGCACACGTCACAGTATTTTTTCTATAACTATCTTGAAACAATACATACGGAATCCAGTGTTCAAGCGGCCAACATAGGCTAGTCCTTCTGCTGTATTGTCAAAGATAGAAGCAAAAATTATTCAAATGGGTCAAGTCTTGAAAACTAAGCTGTCACGTAGCTCCAGCTTGATACCCAAAAAAAAAGAAATTTCGATAGGTATTTTTGTTTTTTTTTTCTTTATTATAGAGATTTTTAGCCATAGGCTAGTTCATCTCTTATATTTTTGGTTAGTCTATTGTATGAGAAAAGTATAAATTTAGAAAATATCACAATACACTACAAATTAACCACTTCATTCGAGCAGTTATAATCACGTTTACTCGAAGTTTGTAATAAAACATTATTTTGAGATTTTTTCTTCTAGAACCACGATAAAAGTGGCCAATATTTGTGCGTTTTATAAAAAATAGAAATTAGTTGTTCCAGTTTTGTGAAATCGCTGGTAGAAAGTCACACCAAAACTGCTTGACAAAGTGGTCTATTATTGAAAAAATGCACGGAGCTAGGTGACGCGTGAAGTTATGGCACTTCACACGGTAAGCCTCATATTTAAAAAAAAAACTACGGAGCCGAGTAAAATTGCATATTGGATCATTTGGTTTTTGCTCGAGAGCATAGAGGCACTATTTAGACGTGCCTATTGAGTTATTTGGGGTTGTCCTCGGTTGTTGCTAGATGTGTTGCCCGGAGTATTCTGGATTTGGACTCCAGTCATGCCAATAGTGATACCAAAAGGAATGCTAAGATGGAACGGTGATACCAACAATCAATACGAAACTAACGATTTTAAATTGGCTCACCACTTTAGTAGCCTATTGGTCCCAAGCAAACGATTAACGTACCCTATTCTAGCCGAAATTCTAGTACTACGCAATGTTTGTTTTGATTCGCTATGAAAGTTTGACAGATAAAATGAGGGGTTATTGGTTTTTCCTATCTTTCGAGGGGTGAATCGATTAGCTTGGGACCGAAGAGAGTACCAGAGCTGAGCCAAAAAGTTGAGCATGTTATTTCGGGACCTTCTAGTCTTAGAGTTACCTCTATGGTGATACTATACAATACCATACCAATCAGGCTATGTCCTCTGTCCTCTGTTGTCCGAAGAAGTCGTCTCCACTCTACTCCATTCATGGCCTCACGTCGCCAGCCTCGTAGCATAGCTCGTAGTCTGCGAAGGATCCGTAGGTCGCCTATGGACTTCAGCATTTCACTTTCAGTGCGGCGTGTGCGACACCTTTGCGATCAGTTTTCCTCACTCGGGAGCACATTTCACGGGCTGTGTTTTATGTTCTCTCTTTCTCAATACTACACACTCGCCACTGCTATACTGCTGCTGCTGAGGCTGCTGATGTTATAGCATGCTTTCCGAAGTTTGCGAGCATACCGCGACCAGCCAGCAGCCGGGACACACACATATATGCCATTTCGGTGAGATATGTTGTGCATTTTATTTTATTGATTAACCTAAAAAGTGCTATAGGGTCTTCATAATAGGAGGGCCAAGTGGCGTGGCAGGGTCATACCATTGCGGTGCTTTCAATGTTGTTCTTTTGATATGAAATTGTGTTATGGGGGTAGTAAAGTATTTTTCGATTTTATTTCCAGACGAAATGTCTAACCATGGTAGTAGTAAGGACAGTATCAACAAGGAAGTGTCTGGAGGATCGCCGATGCCGGCGGCTGCGGGAGCAGCTGCAGTAAACGGCATTCATCTGCAGGAGCACTCGTGCGAAATCTGTGGCATGTCGGGCCTATCGGATGATGCCATGCGAGAACACACCCGCCAGTGCCATGTGGAGGGCAGTGCTCAATGTCCATTCTGTGGGCTCAGTGGAGTACCTGCGGCCGAGTTGCTACTGCACGTAAATCAGGCCCATTTGGATTATTTAACACCGGAGAATGAGCTGATGAGCTTCATTGACGATCAGACGCCTAGGTAGGTCTTGAAAGAGATACCTTTGACACATTCTACCAGGATGTTCGACGTTGTTGACTGATTTTTCGTCTGTAACTGAAAACGAATAAAAGTAACCATCAAATATTATTGCAGATTTGGAAATTGTGATAAATTTCCTATAATAACTGACCAAGAGTTTATGGTTTGAGTTGCTCAAAATGATTTGGTGGACAACTCAGCTACACTACACAACTACTCACCAAAACGTTTTGAGGTACTCGAATCAGAATCTCTAGATAAATTCTTATAGGAAATTCAACGCACTTTCTGCAATAATATCCAGGAGTTACTTTTCATATATATTTTTTTGTCAGTTACAGTCAAAATACAGGCGAAAACCGTTGTAACGTCACGTAGAATGTATCCTTTATGAAGTTTAATCGGTAGATTCTTTACAGCATTGACGGCGATTCTGATTCCATCTCTGACTGCCGTGGACTATCTCCATCGATAACATCCGAGCTTCTTACACCGGTTTCAAATACCAACAACAAAGCAAGCATGAGCAATGGTGCAGTTCAGAGCAGTTCCTCTGCAATTACAAGCTCCTACGGACAGCAGCTGCTCAACGGTACCAGTAGTTATAGCAAAATCAGTTCTTCGATGAGCACTTCGGCGACAAGCACTAGTAGCAAGTCCAGTATCGATAGTCAACAGAATGGAATTAGTAACGGTAGTATGAGTGCCAGTAGTAGTAGCAATAACCATTTGTCAGGTGCTAGCAGTAAGGTCAATCAACAGCACCTGTTGAACAATCATCAGCAGCATCCTGAGGTGACGATAACTAGTACAAGCAACAAAAGCTGTGATATGGTGAACGACGGCAAGGAGGCAGTTATGAATGGTGGTGGTGCAGGTTGTACCAGTGGAGTCGTTGCTGGCGCTAGTGGCACTACCAGTGCCAACGGGACAGGTGCAGGTGGCCAAGGATCTCCGCTTCGATCGCAATTAGGACTCAAGCTCAAATCACACAAACCTATCGCAACTACCACTACGAAACCCAGTCCGCTGCAATGTTTGTTATGTCCCTACACGACCGAGAACCCAACAGTTCTGGAAGAGCATATAAATCGATCGCACTTCGATCCGCTGAGCCCAAGCGTAAACAATGGAGCCAGCGGAAATTCTCACGTAGATACACTAAGCGCGCTACAGTGTCCTATTTGTGCGCGAACATTCGAATCCGGATCGGATCTGGAACTGCACGTAAACATAGAACATCGCGATATCCTGAGTCCGGCCAAAGCAGATCGTCCGAATGGTGGGACTCCGGCTGCCGCAACTGTGAACGGAAGCCTCACCGGAAGTCTCTGTCCTGTTTGCGGTATTTCGTTCGACCACATGAAAACAGCCGATATGGAAATTCACATCGAAAAACACTTTACCAAGAGTCCACAGAATCCGAGCTCGAAGGAACCGGACCTGGAGAAACAAGCACAAAAATTACGCGAGCAAAGGGAGTTCGAGATGCTTCGCGCGCAGTACGGCATGGACGATCAGGGCAACTTTCGGGAGCAATCGGCGGCCGCCATGCAGAGGGCAGTGTACGCCGGTGAGATGAGCGTAGCGGATTACTACGAACGGCAAGTGGGACTGCGAGCGGCCGAATCGCACGGAGTTGATGACGGGTCGTCCTGCACGAAATCGGTTTCGCCGCGTGTGCTCTCGTTGTCATCGTCTTCGCCGAATGTGCTGAAGACGTACGTTTGCTCGAGCGTTGACCATTATGCTTCCAGCTACGGAGATAAGGGATGGGGCTGTGGCTATAGGAATCTGCAAATGATGCTTTCGTCGCTGTTACAGGTGAGTTTTCAATTATGATAGGTATGCACTAATAATGAACCACATTTTGAATATTCGTTTCAAACAGAACACCGCTTACAACGAAGCATTGTATTCGGCGTGGGGATCACACGGTCCAGCACGCACGGCTATGCCGAGCATCTCGCGGCTGCAGCGTATGGTTGAAGCAGCCTGGGCGCAGGGATTCGACATCCAGGGCTCGGAACAGTTGGGCTGCAAGCTGTACAACACTCGGAAATGGATTGGTGCCACAGAAATCGTTACCGTCCTATCGTGGCTTCGGATCCGTTGCGAGTTGGTAGACTTCCATCGACCAACCTCGCCCGACGGGCGCCATCCGGAGTTATTCAATTGGGTTTTGCGTTATTTCGAAGAGCCAAGGATCCACACGCCGCCGTTGTATTTGCAGCATCAAGGTAGTTGTGTTGACTAGGTTACTTCATTGACCAATTGTTAGTAATGCTTGGTCAAAATTTGATTTTAGGCCACTCGAGAACGATCATTGGTATCGAACAACGTACCTCAGGACTTTCTCTGTTGGTGCTGGATCCAAGCCATGGCCCTCGACAGGTTGCCGCGCTTGGTTCTTCGCAGGATTCGCTTCGATTGATTCGGAAAAACTCGGCAGCCATGAGGGCTCCCCAGTATCAAGTAGTGGCAGTGAAGGGACTCATCGAAACAGAAGAACAGTACCAGGTAAGAACCCTTTTCGGCTTGCTCCTGTACCTACGTTATCGCTTTTTTATCGCTAGCGAACATTAGAGTTTTCAAGTATAATGTTTTTTATGTCATTGAATTTCCCGTTTCTAGGCGAGTAAAGTTTTACGATCCCATAGAATCCCGCCCGACCGTTGACGTGCTGTAGAAGTTTACCTGATATTTGTTCGAGTTGCGCTAATTTAAGAATTTATCAATTAATTTTACCTAGTCTAGAACAAACAAAAACTACTTAGCTAACCTTAGAACGACAACAGGAAGAGTAAAAACCTTAATTTAGAGCAGAACAAGAGTGAAATACTTACCAAAACACATCCAAGAATAACTATAACCCAAAAGCAACAACTATCACACAAAATGAGTAACACTCACACGGAGACACCTAACTCAATTAGTCTAATTCTAAACCAATACTGCAATAAACTTTAACACTAGTAAATAGCTTACACAGCACAGTTGTAATCAAGCAGTTCGTCACTATAAGCAAATAGTTTGTTCTGTTTCGTGCTTCAAATCATCCACCACTGACTCTTAGTAAGTAGCAGATCAGTTCCATGAGATTTTCGTTTTCAACTGTTTTGACCAAATGGAACCGATGTGCAATCTGGGAGTCCAATCATTGTTTTAGTCATTAAATACCGTATTAGTTGAGTTTTAGCTCTCTTGCTCTAGTCCATGTCTTCTATCTGTACTGCAACCGCACAGCACTGGATGCCGATTGCTACAAAAGAACGAACCTATAAACCATGAAAAAGAAATCATGTTTGCCTTCAAATTAAGTATTACATTACAAACTACTAACTACGGATACCGCTTACGAATTTCTGAATGTTAACAGGTTACCATTATTTAAGTGTGAACAAAGTCCCAGAGACTAAGAGAAGAACTCGAATCAACATAATTTAGCTTTATTCAAATTTGCCTTAGGTGCAACACACATAGTGACTTTAATACATTGTGTTTTTTAGGAGTTGTTTGTCACATGAAGGCATACATTTCCTTCTCTGATCGGACTGTGTAGAACACAATGAAATTTTAATCGTTTAGAAGCATAGCTTCTTTTTGTTTCCTTTATTGACGGTTATGAAATACATACAAAAAATTAAAAAAAAACTAAATCGACAATCGGGCTTGCTTTGAGCAACGTAACGAAATTTGTAAAATATGAACTACTTACCTGATTAATACCTACTTTGTGAAAGCATGTCAATGATAACACATACACACAACAACTATTTAGAACGTAAAACTAACGTTTCGGTAAAGTTCATTATTTAATTCATTGAATTAAGCTTTCTACCGCCAGGATGACAAATACTACCTGGGGAAGGAGGGGCATAATGCACATCTTATACCTTAGCTTTAAATTTCTCAATTGCTGTTGCTTTGCGGAGCCGTAATTCATTTTATTTTGCGTATTACATTGTTTCTTAAAACTAAATTCAGCTGGAGGGGGGGGCGAATACTCGCGGCATACGCGAGGCTACGGGCTACAGCTTAGGAGGGGATCAACGAAAAGGAACGTAAATCGCCGGATTTATATGTTTATCTCCATTACCATTTTTTTTTTGCATTTTTATAGAGGCTGGTTCACCTCTTTAAAAGAGGAGAGGGCTTCAAATGAGTGCCCCCTCCCCCTAGTGTTGGTTATAACATTGTAACAAATTGACATACAGGTATGCCTCGTTTTCTCACAGAGTAAAAACACCATCTGATAGATGAGACAATCCTCCATCTATTGGTAATGTTCGTTTGTATGATTGAGTCGAGGATTGAGTTGATATTTGTGAGAAATGGACGATGACAGCCTAAAGGGACAGTTACGTTATATCGAGGTATACCTGTAATAACATTGTAACAAATTAACAAAATATCAAGTATTGATAGTTCCTTAGTCGTCGTCCGGTGTCGTAGCGAGGTTCTTCTTCAAGGTGTCGTGATTAATTTATGTTTTGTTCATTGTCCAGGTTCATTGGGTGGGTCTGCTATCATGTGCCTTGGTTAAAACGTGGCATTGTAGCATGATGTCCATCAGATTTGATTGTAGATTCCGGAATCCTTCACGAAAGCCAGTAGAGCCTCCTCTCTATTTGGCTCGTTACAAAGAGCGTCTTGTAGACTGCAAACTAAGCCTTGAATCTGTCTGTATTGCTGATAATTCGGGCAGGTTCATAATAAGTGCTCAACTGATAGATGTACTGCACAAATATCACAGGGAATGTGGAAGTTTGTTGGTTTGTTGTGGGCTAGCTTGATGTCACTGACACACTCCTATTCGCCAGTTTCTCCTTTAGTTTTTCGTAGGAAGGAGCTTCTATCCTCCTGCCGTTCAGCCCCCCATGCACTCCAAACTACACGTCTGACCCATGTCTTGAAATTAGCTGCAGGGATTTCTCTTGTTGTGAGGGCAGACTCTCTGTCTAAAGCTGCCAGTCTGTCCGCTTGCTTGTTTCTTCTGATTCCACAGTGACTACAAGGTTGTGTTCCGGTCGACCACTGTCCTAATTACTTGTACGCACGGGTGACGGATTTTGGATGCTTCCAATGCTCTCAACACACAGGCTGAGTCAGAGACAATGCACAGTGGTTCAGGATTGGAATTTAGCAAGACAAAAGTCCATAGTACTTTTGTTTTAGGATTTAGGCGTTTGGTGTCTTCAGTGAAGTTTGTGCACCCAAAAAAATCAGTTTTTCAGCTCTTATTTTTTTATTTCATATTTTTCGTAAAAACTGTTTCCTAAAAACTTTTAGAACTCGTCAAAATACACAACTTTGCTCAAGAAATAAAATCTGTATTTCTCGACTATCAAAATATATTGAAGATTTTCTATACAAAATAGGCCCTTTTCAAATGTCAACCACTCAAAATGGGGCAGACGTACAGACATTTTTTAGCCATATTTTGAAAGGGCATACTTTAGTGTATATTATATGAGAAAACTGGAGATACTTTTTTTCTTTATCTTAAGTTAAACTTATTTAAGTTCACTCACTTTTGCAAATAAATTTGGTAATAAATCTTTCTAAAATAGAGGAAACGATATTTTAAAAGAAAAACGTGTGTCTTGCTAAACTGCAAAAGTTTTTCTAATACCTTTTTATGTAAAATTGTAAATTAACAGGAAACAGTCAAGAAAAGGTTATGAAATGACCGGTCAATAAAATGTTAGCTTCTTGTAATATAGAAAGTTGTCAAGTAGGTTAGAAAGGAGACCATCATTTGAGTACGTCGTGTTCAGTATTCGTTCGAGTTTATGTATGTTATGTTTTTGTTTCTTATCTAAGTGTTATTATTCCTTATTAATTAATCAATTTATTTAATGAAAATTAAAAATAATACTAATCTAATTCACCAGCAGATATTTCGCATTATCTGGTAATTCTAAAGTAGATTGATTTGGTGAAGCTCTATTTCTAAGGGAAATCAGGGGGTGAGATGTCAAAAGCAACCTCAAAAATACACCTTCAATATTAACAAGCCTATTGAACTTTCGTGCTTGAAATTCTCGAAATTTCCTAATCGACTTATTACGCGTTTCCTGCGCTTCTTCGCTGCACATGCCAATTGACGAGTGCACGGATGGATTTGAGTACACTCACTCGACAAAAAGTGACACAACAGCGGGGCCCTGTTTACTAAAAATGAACACATATATGTTCATTTTTAGTAAACAGGGCCCCGCTGTTGTGTCACTTTTTGTCGAGTGAGTGAACTCAAATCCATCCGTGCACTCGTCAATTGGTAGTATGATGTGCTTGATCAGTGTAGGTCCATGAATCAATAATTTATGGACCGTTGGTGCCAGCGGATACCATCCATATTTAATAACATATAGCCTACGAGTTTCTTCTGCGTAAGAATGGTATGCTTTGTAATTGATTTGCTTACGGCTGTTCACGATAATCAAAATCACATGCATGCGCTCCATTATAACTTTGTCTAACCCTGTGATTGAATTGTTGGAAAAAATTGGATTTATGAGTGCACCGTCTTCAAGGAATCTTCTGTCAACGAAAGGCGCGAACGAGTGCAGCAGGCGAAACTATGTTTCAATTGTCTGAGACCAAACCATCAGTTGTCATCGGCCTACTACCAACAGCATTAGTACGAGTGAAGCAAATTGATGGTCAGTGCCAGGAAGTACGAGTGATGATTGATAGCGGTTCACAAGCATCACTTATCACGGAGAATTGCGTGACCAATCTCGGATTGCAGCGAAGCAACGCTAATCTGATTGTCACCGGAATCGCAAGCTGCTCATCGGAAACCACCAGAGGAGTTGTCGACCTCGAAATTTCTTCTCGCTTTTGCTACAATTCGGTGGTCAACGTCAAGGCTTATGTGCTGTCCAAGTTCCCGCGGATCGTACCAAACCAGCGATTGGATCCTGAACGGCTAAAATGTTTGGAAACATTGCAGCTAGCGGACCCACATTTTGACAAGCCCGGCAGAATCGATATTATTCTTGGAGCTGATGTTTTCTTGGCTATTTTGGAAGATGGCAAGGTAAAAGATGGATCGGGACTTCCAGTGGCGATCAACTCAACTTTTGGATGGATTGTTGCCGGTCAAGTTTTCGACGCCAGCGAGGTGAATTGCAACACGGCCATCATCAGTCTCAGCATGGACATGGACATCGACAAGGTTCTCCGGAAATTTTGGGAAGTTGAAGAGGTCAACAGACCGAAACCTTTGACACAGGAGGAGCAGCAAGCAGTGGATTTCTTTAATACTACGCATCGACGTGATGAAACTGGTAGATTTACAGTGCGTTTACCGTTCGACGAAAGCAAACCTGCATTAGGTGAATCGATGCCAGCAGCAGTCCAGCGGTTGAAGGCGATGGAAAGGAGATTCGTTCGAGATCCAGGCTTCAAACAGATGTACGGTGAGTTCATGACCGAGTACCTTAATCGTGGTCACATGGAGAGGATTCCAGACGACGAGGTTAACGTTTCGCCGGAGAAAAGTTTCTACCTTCCACATCACGGTGTCATGCGGCAAGACAGTGTCACAACCAAATTGCGAGTCGTGTTTGACGGCTCGTGTCAATCGTCATCCGGAATTTCTTTGAACGAGAAACTGTTGACTGGACCGAAGGTCACCGAGGACTTGCCTGTCGTCCTCACCCGTTTTCGTAGCTACGCTTTCGCCTTTATTGCGGATGCGGAAAAAATGTATCGACAGATATGGATACACAGAGACGATGTTGATTACTTGCGTACTGTATGGAGAGCGGAAGCCGATAAACCCATTGAACATTACCGGTTGCTGACAGTTACGTACGGGACTTCATGTGCGCCATTTCTGGCTATCGAATCCTTACGACAAGCTGCCCGTGATTCCCGTGCGCAGTTTCCAGTAGCAGCTGATCGAGTGCTGAAAAACTTTTATGTTGATGATTTCCTCTCTGGCGCTGCAACATTGGAAGACGCACTCACGTTGAAGAAAGACATCGTTCGAATTACATCGGAAGCAGGTTTTCATCTTCGGAAGTGGTCAGCAAATGATTCCCGGCTGTTGGACGAGAATGCAAACGCTGCTCAACTCGAGGCTCAACCATCAGTCCCTGTTAATTTACAATCAGAAGCGTTTGCCTGCGGTGCGAACTGTTACCAGTCGAACATTTGAAAACGTTGGCGTGGACTATGCTGGGCTAGAGTCGGTGTATAATGAGTCACGCCAAGAGAAAAACAGTTGAACTCGCATCACGGTTTTCGAAGGATTCCCTTTCTTTTCACTTGGCAACAGAGGACTTCTACATCAACTTCAAATGACTTCTAGCTAGAACAAAAAATTGCGGCTGTAGTGAATCATTATATCAGTGATTTTGTCAAATTATCTTATCAAACAATAGTAGAAATTCTCATTACTGATCATTAGCAAACGTATCCCATGACAATTTAATGCTCACTGCGTGTTTATGATCATTTCTTCAATTTTATTTTATATTTTATTGCAATACCTTTCGTGGATCATTCATAGCATCGTAATGTTTGTTTACTTTGCACGATAGGTAGCCGGTTTGACAGTTCAATAGGTAGACTTGGCTTCACTCTTGGCGTGACTCATTATACACCGACTCTATGCTGGGCCTGTCACAATAAAGGCCAGCCTACTGCGATCTGTGAAAACCGTTAAATGCTACATAGCAGTTTTTGTGTGCCTTGCAACAAAAGCTGTGCACTTGGAGGCGGCTACCGATCTATCATCAAAAACTTTCATATCAGCTTTGAAACGTTTTTGCGCTCGTCGTGGTTTGCCCAGTCAACTGTGGTCTGATAATGGCACAAATTTTGTTGGTGCCGATCGCCAGCTAAAGGAGCTTTTGGCGTCAGCTACATTCAACACCGAAGTAGACCAATACGTGAGCAGTTTGGGAGTACAGTGGAATTTCATCACACCGTCAGCCCCCCACATGGGCGGTATTTGGGAAGGAGCAGTAAAAAGCATGAAAAAACACTTGCGCGTTGTACTGGGAACCAACGTTTTGAGTTTCAAAGAGTTGACCACTGTCTTAACCCAGATTGAAGCATGCTTGAACTCACGACCTTTGTGTGCGCTTTCAAGCTCAGTTGATTCCTGCGAGGCTTTGACACCCGGACATTTTATCATCGGCCAACAATTGAACCTTGTTTCTGAACCGGACTTATCATCTGTACCAATGAATCGCCTCGACAGATATCGCCAATTGGGTTCTTTAAGGGTATTGAGGTAAATGCATATTCGTAATCTGCATTAAAAATGGAATCCATACCCAAAATTTCATCAATTTTGGTACTTTTTAAGTTTTAAGGAAACAGTTTTTACGAAAAATTAGAAATAAAAAAGTTAGAGCTGAAAAACTGATTTTTTTGGGTGCACCCTAACGCAGTTCAGAAAAAAATCTCTAAAATGAAAACGGTAAGAGATACAAAAAAACTTTTTTCAACAAAGTTGCTTGAAATTAATTCAATTAACTTCTTTGAATAATGCGTGTCTTTATTTTTTTTTAAATAAGAAAGTTAATTTTTGGATTTCAAAAAATTAAAGGATCACCCTAATGTTTGAAGGCACCAAAAGAAGGATAATTTTAAGAAAAAAAAACCACTGAATTGGTGTCTTCCTAAATCCTAAAACAAAAGTACTATGGACTTTTGTCTTACTAAATTCCAATCCTGGACCACTGTGCAATGGTTTTCCGAGTAGGTGGGTTCGATTCATGGGCCGGTCTAGGATTTTTTCGGGTTGGAAAATTTCTCGACTTCCCTGGACATAGAGTATGATTGTACTTGCCACACAATCATACTAATGCAAAAATGGTACAGGTTTGTCGGTGGTACAGGTATCGATAGCTCTCAATTAATAACTGTGGAAATGCATCTAGAACACTAAGTTGATTGCACGCAATAATCTAATATGCGATAAGCAATAAGCTTGAAATGCGAAGAAGAAGAAGAAGAAAAAGAAGTTGTGTGTCACCTTTGTATTAAGTACCAGAGCTTCAATACAGTTCCCATGTTTTTTTTCTAAGCAAGCATTCAGGAAAGTTCTGGGACTCCCAAGGAAGTACTGGGAACTATAGAAAAGTTTAGCCAACTTCAGGGAACTGCAATGAATTTTAGGAAAGTTGTGCAAACTTAAAAGGCGTTTCTGCAAACTTCAGCCTATGAACTTCAGTTAAGATTTTCAAATGTAAGGAAAGTATTGCGAACTTCAGGAAAAATATGCATGCTTTAGGAACATTTAGCAAACATCCGGAAAGCTATGTAGGGAAGTTATGCAAAATCCAATTTCAAAGAGATTCTGAGAAATCTAGGAAACTGCTTCAAACTTTATTGACATTCTACATTTTTTCGGCAATTTCTTTAAACCAAAAGAAATTCTCTGAACATCAGTAACGTTCTGCAAACTTTAGGGGCGTTCTGCGAACTTCGGGATATTTTCGTGCAATTTAAGGAAATTCTGCGAAATTTAGAGAACTTCTTAGAACACATATAAATTTCTACCAACTTCAATGGAGATCTCCGAAGTCATGGACATTTTTATGAACTTCAATAAAGTTCTGGGAAGCACTGAAAATTCTTACAAACTTCAGAGAAACAGAGGAAGTTCAACAACCTTCATAGAAGTTCATTCAACTTCAGGGAAGTTCTACAAACTTTTGGCAAATTCTGCAAACTTTCAAGCCGTCGAGAAGTTTTTCAAACTTCTGGGAAATACTGCGATCTTTAGAGAAGTTCTACGAACTTTAAGTAAATTCCCTGTAAAATTTTAGGGACGTTTTGCGAGCTTCCTCCTGGTAAGCAGGGTTACTTCCACTCACTTCGCTATAAAAATTTTTTTTCGGAATTATGGCATCATTGATTGGATGCTATTATGAAAGTTTATACTTGTCAGAAACAATAGAAGGTTGGAAGGCATGTATTTGACACATATAACCTGTCAGTTTCACTTTCAGTGCGTCACAATCAGCGAATTTATGACTCGTGAGCGTTCACTCAGAGTGAGCGCTCACGAATCGTAAAATCGCTGATTGCGACGCACTGAAAGCAATAATGACAGGTTTTATGTGTCAAACACCTAGTTTACAACCTTATCTTGTGACTTACAACTACTAACTATCATTATAATATCTAATAATTTCATAATTCCGGAAAACAATTTTTTGTAGCAAGTGAGTGGAAGCAAGCCTGCTGGTAAGTTCTACGAACTTTAGAAAAATTCTTGGAACTCTAGCAAAACTATATGATTTTCAATTTACTTGAATGGCCAATGAGAACGACCCAAATTTGGGTTTAGTTTACTCATAAACGCAAAAAGTGCAGGAACTCAGCGATGAGTAAATTTTCCACATGTTTTCCTGCGGAAAACCTAAAAAATCTGCTGGAAAATGAAGAAAATTGACGGAAATGTTACTCAGTCTAGGAGTATTTAGTGCCAATAGACTAAGTGAATCCAATGGTTGTAACCAGAGCTGGTAAATATCACGACCGTCATGTGACGATGAGAAAACAGGTCCTCTCACTATCACAAGACGAAACTACCTATCATTAGCTTTCATGCGAATAATTCTTATACGGTTTTGATATCAACACACAGCAAAAAAATAATTTTGATATCGCATCAAAGTGGATGCACTGCAATCGTGTCAAAAATATGGTGTAATATTACTTTCCAAAAGAACAAAATTATCATTAATACAGTGCATGAACTGACATTACGCTGCTTTTAGTGCATTTGTTTATTTTTGTGGCCATAAAAATTACATGAGATTTTCGACATGATTGAAGTGCATCCTCTTGGATGTAATATTAAAATTTATTTTTTGCTGTGCATTTCTAACTGATTTAGGCTGTAAATCATTTGCCGAGTTAAATTTAACTCGTGGTTAAAAGTGACATTTCGAAAGTTATTTTCTATGTTCGAAAATCCCTGTGCTGTCGATCGACCGGTTTTCGAGCCACGGTTGTCAAAATTTAACTTCTTGTCTGTCAGAAATAACCAGGGTTAATCGATAATTTTCCATCTGTCAAATTTTAACCAAAAGTTAAAATAATCCACCAAATGGTTCAGAGCCTTAGATAAATTTAAGCAAACAACCGCATGTAATCGGTAGTGTGAATATATTATTAAGATTTCCTCGGTACAAGTAACTTTAATAGCATTACATGAGCTACTAATTACGATGATCACAACACTGTCACGTTCTGTCATGACAACAAATTCGATGAGATTTTGATTTTCTCATCCAATGATAGTGACAGCAGCATCTCTGTAAATATCGCGTGAAATCTTTCATTGAACATGACATTTGCCAGCCCTGGTTGCAACCTTTACTTTTCCCATATTCGGGATTTTTTTTCTGGACAAGCCTTGGAAAAATATGAGGCAAGTTTACACATCGCATAGTTTCTGCACTTTTTGCGATCTATGAGTAAACTAATCTCAAATTTGGGTCGTTCTCATTGGCCGTGTAAGTGCTTGGTATTTTGAAACGTTATAATGTCGCTAGAGTTGGAATCCGAAATAACCCACTCGCGAAAATCGATTTTACTCTCGTTCTGTACGTTAAACATAGCTTCGCATCAAGTGCGCTGCATTCTTTGAATTATGCGCTATAATGCGCACTAGATGCGAAATGATGTTTAACGTACAGAACGAGAGTAAAATCGATTTTCGTGAGTGAGTTATTTCGGTTTCCAACTCTTGCGACAATAATTTTTTTTCAACTAAGGTCGAACTTTTGTTCCGCCGTACTCTAACATTTTGAGCTGCTTACGTCGGCGTCTTGTAGATCCTCAGTTGTGTGCCTGAAATAAGGCTTCCGTGAACCATATCCTTAGGCAATAATGCGGGCTTCTTAGTCAAGGTTCCCGGTGCTGGTAGTATTTTCCCATAAAATAGAGTGATGGTGATGATCCCACACACTTAAGGGCCACCCACATTAGATCCGTTTGCGTTGCGTTAACGTAAATTTGACAATTCAAGACCAACAATTGAAATGGCCTTAACTTCATTTCGTAAACAAACCTTGTAAGGCCATTTTCTCGCGAACCGCAACCTTCATTCGCAAACCTAAACCACAATCGGGTAGAGGAGAATTTTCCCTACCTGTTCATTATGTTGGTTTGCCTTTGCAGACTTTGGTTCACGAGAAAATGGCCTTACAAGGTTTGTTTACAAAACGTCTTTAGAAAAAAAAAAATCATGCAAATTTAGGTGTGCTGAGACTGACACATACGAACGTCAATTTTGACATAAAATTGAGTCATAGCAGACGCGAAACTCAACTAAATCAAAAGTTGTTTTCGTCCAGTAACGAACTTTTCAGTCTCGGAGCACTTAATTTTACATGGAATATTTGTTTACGTCTGATCCTTTATGTCAAAGATGGAATCCGTCGCGTGTAAAATTAGTTATTTCTAATTGCGAATTTGTTTATTATCGGGGTTGGAACCAGTTCCAACCCAGTGCGAAACCGAACTTTTTGTCAGTGCGAACCTTAACCTGAGGTAGGTTTTAAAAACAAACGATCAAACTGACGTTTGTCAGGAAGCAACCAGAGTCGATCTTGATACCCGATCCAGGTTGGAACTGAATAATAAACAAATTCGCTATAAGTGTGCATTGCTCACGATACGAGAACTGGAAAACTAACGAACTACTACTAGGTAGAGGAATGGATTTTGGAAATTCAATTGAAATTGGAATGGAAGTTGTTTGGAGTGACACCTACGTTACCAAACATAATTATTCAAATAATAGTTAAAATTATTGCTTATTTGTATTTTACTTTACTACCCATAAACGTATAACTGTCCCATTAGGATAGGAAATCAAGCACAGATGTGACTGTTATGCTTTCATGGGCAGTTTACAATGTTTACAAACTTTGGATCAGGTATAACACGTTATGTTTTTAAGCCTTTACTACTCGTTGATCAGTTTTGAACAGAAAATATATGAACATTTAATAATAATTCTTAAATGCATTATGAAAACTTACCCTCTTAGATGTGTATCGTAAAGTAAATTGTAGTGTGTTTAGTTTATTCTCAATTAGTAAGTTGACGTTTCTTTCCATGCAAATCTGGAATCTATCTCAGAATTTATGCCACCTTCTAAAGTCCGTCTACGTAAGCGAACCTGCAAACATTTTCTGCACTCTCTACACAAGTTAACATGCTGTTTCTTGCTCTAAAGTGTTGACCATTATTTTTCGAAGCTATTGCTACTTTTTGCGTCCATCACTCACTCACAAAAAAACACACACACACGCGCGCGCACGCACACACGCACTCAAACACACCATTCCCCGCTGCAAGTTCCAAATGAGTGTATGGTTTGACCATCGTTTCGCTATGTCCCATAAAACCGCACACATGAGAGAGTACATCAGACATATAGAGAGCAACTGAAATGATATGAAAAAGCAAGAAACGAGCATTGTCCATTTTCAGATAGATACACACGTGCGCCAAGGCAGCTTAGGGCTTTTAGACACACTTTTTTTTTCTTTTAGAAAGCTTTATTGAATCCGTTCACAGAGCCAAGCGAACACACTAACACAGACGAACACACGTACTTATATATTTATAATTGATGGCATCAAAAATCAAGAATGCATCAGCGAAATATATTCGACAACTAAGATGATGGAGTCAGTTTATTTTTCTATAAACATTTGAAAACAAAAAAAGGATTTATATATTGCGGAATGAGCAAAACTTGAAAGAAGAAAACAGTAGCTTTCAAAGCGATATGATTAGGAAACAATAGGGAAAACTATACACACAGGACTGTATTGAGTAGAAGTTGGCCGAGAAGTATCGATTCAATTGTTCCGATTATCTGTAGCAAATAGGGAATAAATTCCGTAAAGAAAAAGCACCTTTGAATTACACAAACACCCACACATGCACACACACACACACACTTACCGGTGATTACAGTCAGCAGCTCAGCATTAACCTGCGCAGGTTTTTGGATGTTGTTCCATTCTTCTTATTTTTTACGAGCTTTCTGTTTATTTTAGAATTAGAGAAATTCAACAAATTGCACATGCGAGACAAACACACCGACACACACGCAACACACGCATATACATTAACACACAAAAAGTGAATAACAAATTGAGAATAAGCACGAAACCATGGCTTTATTTTTCTCACAGTGAAGCTACTTCTAGGTGTAATATAATCGAATAAAAGTAAAACAAACTTACCGGAGATTACTGAACCTTAAGAATGTGTGATTATTATTAACACCATATTGCTGATTGAATTGATCTTAACAACTAAACAAACAGAAGACAAAAGTGATTAGAACCTAATGCTATGGAATAATTATAATTAAAAAAATAATAAACCGTTCTTGAGATTATAGTTCAAATGGTAACGAGACGCGACAAACTAAGCGAACCGCACGCGGAAGTGTATTCTTAACGTAGAACAATGTAATTGTAAAGTGAACAAACCATGCAACCACACATACACACGCAGGCACACAAACAAACGGTGTGCTAAACTCTTATAAGTATTAAGGTTCTACAAAGGGTAAGTAATTTTGTGTTCTTCTTCTTTTTTTAATATCATAAAATCATCATCATTAGTTTACACATACATTCATATATTATGAATACGAAAATTTAAAACATGTATTTCGTGGGTAAAACACGAAAATTTCCTGGGGAAAACACATTCACTGTATTTACTTACTTGTGTTCTTCGAAGTATAGCACAATTAAACGCAATCGAATACACGAAACTCAAAACAACTGCTTCACAAAACTCTTGGTGAACAAAATTCATCACAAAGAAAACCATTTCTACTTTACTGCTTTGCTAGCAATCGTGAAAGTATCATTGAAACAGCGGTGCCAGATGTATTTCCTCTAGCAATGAATTTAAGTTTATTAAAACAATTAACTGCGAAGTCTGCCTTATTAACATAGATGAGTGGATGTATTTAATGGTGGATAAATTTAAAACCTGATTAAATAAAACATAAATGACCATTTACATAAAACATTTTACCGGTCCAATTAAAAAAGTCACAGAAGATTGAATTCAACACTAACAGGGTTGATGGCAGCAGTGCACGTAGCCTGTTATACACTTTCCCGCTCAGGGGTGTAAACAAACTTGCATACAGCGCAGTCTGGCAGTGCTTATATTTTGTCTGCTACATTCTTATCCACTAGATAGTGTGACATCACATTTGCTGTTGTATTGAAATGAAGGAAGAAAAGAGATGGTTAAGTTTTCCTCACCATACCAGTTGATATTTATAAAAAAAATGGCAGTTTAGGCGTGGGGACATGCACTTCCAATGAATTTTACCAATACATTTAGAAAATGATGATCGAAGAATATTTCAAAAAGAAGAAGTAAACAAAATAATGACCCTTTGTAGAACCTTAACAGCGAATCAAGAGATACCGTAAAACAAAGATAAATTTTATAAATTTGCTTCAAAACAAAACTGAGAAAGAAAGTGAGACCGAGAATTAAATTCGATTTTTGTCCTTGAGAAATTCGTACCGTGAATGTTACTCCTAGAAGCTTCTACGGATCATGCCGAAATCCCTGCCCTTGTGTCAATTTGTTCAAATCTTAAACTTCTTCTCCAGCGCCTGCCAGCATTCGTAGTACTTTGCGTCCAGCTTTTGGCACGTTTCTTCGCCCCACTTGGTGACGGCCATACTGAGCGACGATTCGAACATGAAGGCCTGTGTTCCGTCGGCGATGTGTTCCGGTTTGAGCTCCGCGTTGGAAGCACCTTCGAAGCACTTCCGATCGGGACCATGCGGCGTCATCATGGAATGCAGTGAGGCGCCACCTGGTAGGAAGCCTCCTTCCTTGGCTTCATAACGCCCGAAGATCAGACCCATGAATTCGCTCATGCAGTTGCCTGGAAAAGTTTGTATCAATTATTTTAAACATTCAACAGTAATCTGGCGCCGAATACTCACGATGATAGTACGGTGGTCTGAAGGTATTCTCCTGCACAGACCACCTCGGCGGGAAAATGACAAAGTCTGCGATAGCTGTCCCATATCGATTACTCGGACAGGTAAGCACCGTAAAGATGCTCGGATCGCAATGATCAAAACTGACCGAGTTAATGACCATAAACTTGGCCAAATCATACTTGTACGGAACATAGTTCCCATGCCATGCCACCACATCGAACGGCGAATGGTTCTGAGTCGCCACAAACAGCGCACCCTGATACTTGGAAACGACCTTGAATCCTTGAACGGTACGATCTTCGAACCAAGCGCTTGGTGTGAGAAAATCTCTCGGGTTAGCAAGCCCATTCGCCCCAATTGGCCCCAGATCCGGAAGCTTGAAATGACCATCGTACACTTCCAGAATGTAGCCACGAGTTGGTCCCTCAACTGCCACGCTGAAACGAATGCCTTGCGGTATGACGCAGATTTCATTCGGTTTGACGAGCATCTTCCCAAACTCGGTAGTTATATCCAACGGACCCTGCTGGGGAACTAATTATGACCATTATTAAAACCTCCATAGCCACTATTTCCGCCAATCAAACTTACCAATTAAGAAATCCCCATCGCTGTTGTAGAAAGCCTTGTCCTCCATCGATCTGTTGCACAGAAACACATGAATTGCAAGCCCGTGGCGGCTCCTGGTGTCCCCGGCACCGCAAACAGTATGCAGTCCTGCTACGAAGTCCACCTGGCCCTCCGCATCGGCACCAGGAATGTCGAAAGGATTCCAACGCATCTGGTTAGGATTCGGATGCTGTTCGTCCCATTTTCCCCGGAAGAACGGTGCAACGTCGTACCTCTCGAACGGCTGATGGATCACCGATGGGCGCACCCGGTACAACCAGCTGCGGACGTTTTCGGTTCGAGGGGCAGTGAAGGCACTGCCGGACAGCTGTTCAGCATACAGACCGTAGGCACATTTCTGCGGAGAATTTTGTCCCTCTGGAAGCGCATTCGGACAGCGCGGGTCCTCCGAGGAGAAGTGCGATCCGAAACCGGAGAGATACTGTGGGAAGGAAATTGGATAAGGCTATGAAATACCTTGTCGAGTATTAGTACAAGACACTGTAGAAGTCTGCACATTGTAGACGGAATATGCCTATCTGTCAAGGATAAGTTAATAAGGGGTAGTGGAATTAAATGGAAATTACTAATCTTTCTATCTCTCTCTCTTTCTATGAAATACCGTTTTTGAGGTCACTTTTTTCAAATTTGATGGAGGTAGGTACTAAGAAATTTATTTTAAAAAACTGAATGTCATCAAATACTCTGAGCATTGGCATAACCTTGAGGATTACTTAACTGCAACTAGGTCTCAGAGCTTTTCTGTATCTTTACATTTTGAAAGATGCAAACTAGTGATGCCAGTTGTGATGTAGCGGACCAAAAATTTGTTGGAATTTAACTACTAGCCAAAATTAAATAATTGTGTAGTTTAGAATTATGATTTTAACTATGAATTGTTTTTCTAAATAATTGAGTCTAATGGCTGCAAAAAAATATGTTTTTTTATTTGGTTTAAAACTTTTGAAATTCGACATCACACAGGTACTACCTTTGAATTTGGCTTGATCGAGTGGCGATTTTCTTTTCTTTAGATCAAGACGATGAAGTTTTGAAGAAGACAACGATATTAACTATCTGCACGTTGGATCAGCATATAGCCATAATAGAGGGATAAAACATCATTTTATTTTCATAAAAACAGAACCATCATAAGAGATTATCAGAAATGCCCTTTATATGGGATCCTGGAGAAGAAGAAAAATGGAAGACCATGCTTCACATGGAAAACCAGCGTAAGGCTTGATGTAGAAGGAAACGGTCGTTCAGTGGATTATTGGCAATAGGTGGCTAACAGGGGTTGAAACAGTTGCCGTTTTTTACTACACTCGCTTCGTTGTCGTGCGCGACAGTCTGTTTGTATTCGAACACTCATGCTCTACCGTCGTCTCTCTCACACAACACGAGCGGTAGAATAACATTCGAGCTAAAAGAAAATTATCAAAATAGCTATCATATGAAATGTGTGATTTCGTTGTAATTCCTCAATTTGGTGTAAATCAACCCATTTCTGATCAGAAATATTATTACTAGGACATCATTGCTTGCTATTTTCAGAATTCACACAAGCACACCATTAACAGCTCTTATTATGAGAAAAACTAAAATACATACATTCGTGACGGTCATCGGCGACAGTGTCGTATGACAGAGCCTGTCATACGACATTTTAGTTTGGTACTGTACTATGATAGCTTGCTTTGCAAGTCTCGGAGGCAAAGGCAGTCAATTATCACAGAAAATGTGTCGACTACCGTGACCGCTTACACGACTGGTGGCTAATAACTGGTGGTGGCTAATGAAGCGAGTTTAAAACAGCCACGACAAGATTGTTTACTGAAATGGTGGAATCAGAATACGAAGACTCGGAAGATACTCTCAGTGATTCAAGTAGCGATGATCAACTGAACATCCCGGATTTCAGAGGTTTCTCTAACGACGAGGATTTATTTATTTATTGTAATTCATCTGACAGTAGTTGTCTTAATGAATAAAACTTGGATAATACACCAAAAAGCTACAGATAAACAGATTACAAAATTAATCCCAATCTTCTCAATCGGTTTCGAAATTGGTTCGATGTTTCTCCGAATTCATTTGCTTCTTCCACAGCGGAGAATGCCCGAATCATCGCAGACATTGGCTCATGGTATCCATATGCAGTCTGATGGAATCTTGGTTGTAGTAAGGATGATTGCCGCAACATCCTTTGAGGAACACGGAAGTTTAATTGTGAAAGCAGTTTCGCTACAAATAAGGCTTGTTGCATTTTTCTTCTGTGTTCCAATGTGTCCAGGTCCAATAACATGCATCGGTCTGCATAAGGTGGTAAATTCATTGGATCGCGCCACGGCAGGCTGCGCAAAGCCAACCTCAAACATCTTTTCTGAACACGTTCTATTCGGAGATTCCACACTAGCTCATATGGAGACCAGACCACAGATGCATTCTCAAGTATAGGCTGAACTAAAGAGCAATATAGTCCCCCTTATTCTGCGAGTCACGTGACTCTCTCTCACCGGTGAGGTGACAATTGTCACCTCGTGTGAGGTGACTCTCCATGCAAATCAAATGGAGAGTCACCTCACCGGTGAGAGAGAGTCACGTGACTCGCAGAATAGGGGGGAGTGCCTTTATGGTCTTTGAAATCTCGTGCAATCTTCGAAATAAATCTCAGTTGACGATTCACCTTAGAGTTAAATCGTTTTTCAGTCGACATAGAATTCCATACTTCTTGGCAATTTTCTTGATGACATTGTCAATGTGAGAGTTGAACTTAAGTGTGTCATCAATAATCACGCCAAGATATTTAATCTCCCGAACGCGATCAATAGTCTCATCATCAATTACAACAGAGACGTTCTCATTTACTCTATTCCGTGAAATTACCATAAATTTAGTTTTACTTGTATTCAATTTCAACTGCTTATACTTCAACCATCTACTTAGAGAACGCAAATCTTCATTCAAGTGTAAAACGGCATCATATAAATCTTTAGCTGCAATGAATAACACAGTATCATCTGCAAAAAGATTAATTTCGCAAAACGGTAAAACACGTCGTAAGTAATTAATATACATAATAAATAACAGGGGCCCTAATACACTTCCCTGGAGCACTCCAAGGTTATTCCCCACGGGACTGCAAACAGAATCATTAAGAACAGTCCGGTGAGTTCTATCAGACAAATAGCTTTCAAACCATTTATATGCAGCACTCGTAATTCCAAAGCGCTTGATTGATCTTAACAATAAGGGCGTAGAAATTGTTTCAAAAGCGCGTTTCAGATCCAAAAAAAACAGCAACAGTCGTATCTTTCCACTTCGCTAATACCAAATTCAACGCGGTTTCACAAGAATGACCTTCCCGATATCCCGATTGTTCTGGTATCAACAAACTATTGAACGCTGATGATGAGCTTATTGCGACGGCACCAATCCACAAACAAATCTAGCGATGACAATCCTCAATCGAGTGAACTATGACGTATAGCTTAAGATGATCTGCATACACAAGCTTGCATTTAACTCCCAACAAAGCTGCTACATCGTTGAAGAATAATGTAAACAAAAGTGGACCCAGGTTACTTCCCTGAGGTACTCCAGAGGTGCTGATAAACGTAGAAGAGACACAAGATCCTAGTCGTACTCGAAGAGTTCGCCCAGTCAAGTAGGAATGTAACCACGACCTAAGTTGCTCAGACGCTCCTAGTCGGGAAAGCTTGCATAACAAAACCTTCTGGTCGATTTTGTCGAACGCAGCTTTCAGATCAGTATATATGACGTCGACTTGTGCCTTATCCTCCATCGCGGTGATGCATTTACTGGTGAAATCCAAATGGTTAGTAGCTACCGATCTACCGGGAATAAATCCATGCTGGTCAGTTGAAATGTAGTTCTTCGAGCGATTCAGGACAAATTCGCTCAAGATGATCTCAAACAGTTTGGACGCTGCCGAAAGGCTGGTGATACCTCGATAGTTCTTAATATCCCGTTTATTGCCAGCTTTGATAACAGGAAACATATACGACTGCTTCCACAATGTTGGGAATTTTCCTTGCTCAAAGGATGCATTAAATATGGCTGCTAAAGGTTCTGCTAAGGCAGCTGAGCAACGGCAGAACACCACTGCCGGAATTCCATCTGAACCAGGAGAAAGTGAGGCTTTCAGTCACCTTGCTGCTGAAAGTACCATATCCCGAGTTACTTCAAATGTGCTCACTTCCACTAAGTCACTAGGCGTATCAGAGGTAGCAGATTCAGCTTCAACATCATATTTTTATCGAAAACAGAAGCAAAGTGTTTAGAAAACATCTCACACGCTTCGCTAAGAAAGGTGGATTCTATCCCATCGAGTAACATGTAGGACGGTATACTCGAATCTTTCCTTTTGCTGTTGACAAAGCTCCAAAAATTTCGGGGGTTACGCCGCAAATTCCACTGGACTCTGAGGACGTGCGATTTGTACAAGGCACTGTTAAGTTTAATGTAAGCGATACTGGCACGCTTGAAGTCAGCTGTTCTGTGACGACGTAGTTGTCTCTGTACTGCGTTACGCTCAGGCTTCAGTACTCTATGCTGAGGAGTACTCCAAGCTGGGGAAATTGGTCGTCTTTTGAGAGGAACATTAGATGTTGAATAATGCTACAGAAACGCACAGTCATCTCATCAACATGGACAGGATGATGCTTTCGCAGGATTCGTCTAATCAGCATCATAATAATATACCATCGCGCTATTATGAAACTCTGTGATGGTTAAAATCAACTAACAACTTCCCTTACTTTTCACCAATCTCAATCATTATTAACAGGTAAATATTTATTTTGTTCAATTAGTCATTACTGTTTATACCTACTATCATTGTAACTAATTCATTTAGGCATATTCAATTGACCTGCATTGGGTTATTATTTTGAATGCAAAGATATGGGAAAAGGGAGGACTCACGATTCAGCATGGAGAGCCGTTCTAGGGGTTGTGTGGGGCATGTGGTTCATTTTAGGCATTATAGTTTGACGTGATCGCCATGATCCACTTGCGTTCGGGAATGTGGCCTTCATAAGACCCCCTTCTGTCTCGCAAAATCAAACAACTGAATTTCATCAAATATGTACCTTGCAACATAAACTTTAGTGTGAGATATTACAGGGATTTTTGTAGCATGAAGCCTAACTTAAGCTCAACTACTACCAGTGCTGTCACGTTAAATTTAGAGCTCTTTACTCACTAATTGTTTAGATGTTCGTTCTCCTCCCACCTCACTGCTCCTGCATCGGAGGGCCCTAGCAAGAAGGCCCAAACGGATCCCAGCGCTGCTTCGGATGACGCAGCAAATCGGCTGCTACAGAGCAACCAATTCTTGGTGCTCGGAGTAGAAAATGGCGGTGGTGACGCCGCTGAAACTGCGAAAAAGGAGCGGATTCCCCCGCTGTTTATCCCGATGAAGGACGTCGCCCAGCTTAGGGATAAGCTGGCAAAACGCAAATTGTTCCCGCGATTCAAAATCTGTAGCGTTGGAACAAAGATCATGTGCTCCAGCCTACAGCAGTACAAGTCGGTCGGTGACCTGCTTAAGAACAGCACAGTGGAGTTTTACACTCACGATTTGCCTTCGATGAAACCATTGAAGGTTGTTTTACGTGGTCTGCCGTCGTACGAAGCGGCTACCGTAAAAGATGAGCTGGTGAGGCTCGGATTGAAACCAGAGGCAGTACACCCAATGAATCGACGGCCTATGCCCAATACCAACTATCGTGACCAACTGTTTCTGGTCCACCTCACGAAGGGCTCCACCACCCTTGCTGCGCTCAAGAGCAACATACGTGACCTGTTTCAGGTCATTATCGACTGGGAATACTACAAGCCGCAACACCGTGATGTGACCCAATGCACAAGTTGCCTCTCCTTCGGCCATGGCACGAAGAACTGTCATATGAAACCACGCTGCTACAAGTGTGCTATGGCCCACTCGACGGCGACCTGTGCTCAAGCTGATGACACCGACCCGAAGTGCGTGAATTGCGGCGGAACTCACCGTGCCACTACTCGGGACTGTCCCAAGCGAACGGAATTCATCATCATGAGGAAGACGGTGGCTACTAGCAACCAGCCAGGCCGGCATCGAAATAAACGTGCACCACCAGCCATCACGGACGAACAATACCCGGCAATCCATCCTCGTCGTCTGGTCCCAAATCTTCCACCACTACCTCTCAACAACAGTCAACGAGCCGCCTCTCAGCTCAGCATCGCCTCACTGCTGCTGCAGCTCTGCCAAATCAAGCTTCTGTCTCGGCGCCTGGACTATCGTATGCGCGTGTTGCCTCAGGTGATTCAGTTGACGAATCTCCGTTAACATCAGAGGAACTAGTAACGCTGGTGGCAGAGGTGATCGTCATTCTGCGCACCTGCAAGACTCGATCTGAACAGCTTCATGCTGCCTTGTCACTCGTCACCAAGTATGGACCGTGAAGCTATAAAAATTGCAAATTGGAACGCTTGCTCACTGACGAACAAGCATAGAGAGCTACTTGATTTCCTCAACACCAAGGAGGTCGACATTGCTATCATCACCGAGACGCATCTGAAGCCCGAACTGAACGTATTCCTTCCCAACTTCCGGCTCGTCAGACTTGATCGCACCTGCTCTGGAGGTGGAGGAGTGGCCATCGCTGCAAGACGGAACATTCTAGAAACTTACAAAAAATCTTAAAAACAAGCCTAGGCCCATTCCCCCACTGACCCCACTGGATCGTCCCGGCGACCCAGTGGTTCATCTGATAACTCCTGAAGAGAAGGCTGCCGCGAACACTTTGTCAGCTCCCATAATCTCGGACAAAACATCGTCAGCCCTCATGAATCTGAGGTTGCTGAAAATGCAACCAATCTTTATCAGATTCCTAACATTTTTCCAGAGGAATCCGAGAGTACGCCTATATTGGCCTATATCAAATCTTCTAAAAACATGAAGGCCCCAGGTTTCGACAACATCCTGAATCTGGAACTCAAACACTTGAGTTCCAGATTCTACAACCATCACTGCCTCAGACTTGGCTACTTCCTCTCGTGTTGGAAGTCAGCTAAAGTCATACCCATCCGGAAACCTGGGAAGGATCCGTCCTCTCCTTCAAGTTATCGACCAATCAGCCTTCTCTCAGGGTTATCAAAACTGTTCGAAAGAGCAGTCTACCACCGACTCCAAATATCTGCCGAACAAAAGAACATCTTACTCGAGGAACAGTTTGGTTTTCGGAAAGGTCGTTCGACCGTCCACCAGCTGACTCGAGTGATAAACATTCTCAGACGGAACAAGTCTGTTTCGAAAACATTTCGAAAACATCTGCCATGGCGTTGTTGGACGTTGAAAAAGCGTTCGACAATGTCTGGCATGATGGCCTGGTGTTCAAATTGCAGCAGTACGGTCTTCCAATCTTCCTAGTGAAGATCATAAACAACTATCTATCAGACAGGACGTTCCGAGTCTCTCTGAATGGCATCACATCGGATGCTTTCAACATCGGTGCCGGGGTTCCACAAGGAAGCATCCTTAGCCCCATCCTATTCAACCTGTTCACCTCCGATATCCCGGCTCTCCCTGATGGTAGATCGTTGTCTCTGTTCGCAGATGACACATCCATGGTCTACAAGGGTAGGGTCATCGGAGCTCTGACTGCCAAACTTCAGAGAGGCCTGCACGTCCTGTCTGAATATTTCAACAGCTGGAAGATCCGTATCAACGCGGCAAAGACCCAGGTCATTATCTTTCCACACTCTAAATCTCCTAGACTTGTTCCGTCGGAGAATAACAAGATCTGCCTGAACGGCACAGTGGTGGAATGGTCCAAAGAGGTCGTGTACCTCGGGCTAACACTAGACAGCAAGCTTCTTTTCAGAGAGCACGTTGACAAAACAAAAACCAAGTGCAACATCTTGATGAGATCGTTGTATCCACTTATCAACAGGAAGTCAACCCTGTCCCTGAAAAATAAGCTTGCTGTCTACAAACAAATCATCCTTCCTGTAATCGAGTACGGTATGCCAATCTGGGAGAGTTGCGCAAAATGCCATCACCTTAAACTCCAAAGGATCCAGCACAAGATCCTTAGGATGGTCCTAAACAGTTCCCCGCGGACTAGAAATTCTGAGATCCACCTCCTGGCTGGAATTCAGACATTAGAAGAACGGAGAGAATTCATCCTGGAAAGGTTCAGTGACACCTGTCTGAGATCAAATCATTAGATCATACGTGATCTAGCACGTTAGGTTAAGTTATACTCGTAGTTAGGTAGGTCATCACTTTTTTCAATTCAAATAAAACACATCCCCAAAGGGATATTCTGTAAACTAGTTGAAAAACTCAAATATTAAATTAGAATATCAAATTAAACAAAGATGAAGAGCCAGGTAGGCTAATCAATTAAAATGATAAATCAATGTACTACCATAATCAGCAGAAATAAACATAATTTTACTACTACTACTGGGTGGACACTGATATTAACCAGTGCAGACACCAGTTCAACCCCTGCCCAACAGCAGACGGGCCGAGACTCTTGCGAGTGCCCAATCATTGAACCGAAAAATATAGGATTGTCCGGTCCGATTTGCTGATTAAGCCTATACTACCATCGTCCCTTTTCAGGGCCTCCAAGATTTTCCAAAAGAGTTAAATTTCTGAACATGTCCCAACTAAAATTCATAGCAAAAGATTCTTTTCAGGGCAATCATAGTCATGCTAAAGAATATAAACAGAGAGAACCCCGCTCAAATTCCCATTCCTACACAAAAGACAAGCTGCAGCTAACAAAAACGTTATCAAATGCCGTGTTTATAAGATCCAAGATCATCGGCACACACATCACACATCAATAACACGAGATGTTTTTTTTTATTGAATGTCTCATGTTTCTAACAAAATAAATTATCATCGAAAAGAGAGAACCGGTTTGAAACATTCGAGATACATCGTCAGTATTTTTTTTTAACTTTAACACATGTGTTATGCAATAAATTTAGGATTATACATCTAATAGACCTTGTTAAACCTAGTTTACTTCAGAGAAAATGTACGATTTCGTACTATTTAACTGCATTTGCTGTTGAAAAAACCACAGCACCTAGTAGGGGCTCGTCACTATCCAGTCAACTAAATCTTTACTCGTATATACCTAGATCTTGACCGGGCACAATCAATTCAACATGTTGATGAACAGGTTTACAGGCTTATTCTGCGCGGCGAGTAAGGTGAGGTGACACGCTGTCCCTTGTGAAGTGACAATAATTGTCATCTCGGATGAGGTGACTCTTTGAGTAAATCAAATGGAGAGTCACCTCACTCGGGATGAAAATTGTCACTTCACTGTCACCCTCACCAGCCGCGCAGAATAGGTCTGTTGATTGAGTTCTCGAACATTATCAAATGTTCTGCGTATGTCGTTTCCAGAATTTTACAGTTATTTTTAATTTAAGTAAATTTGTGTGTTAACATCAAATAATGCTAAATAACATATCACTTGAAAACTTCAGCCTCTTATCTGTAACCCACCGTATACTCTGGCATCGTTTCTTATCAAACGAAGAAAGGCCACTACCAGCACCTGCTTCCCTACTAAACTAAAACACACTGCACCAAGTGATAAAGGCCACAAAAACGTTTCACTTTGAACCTGCCACGGAAAGAGAAGAACAAAATCCGACTGATCGCGCCACTGCCGGGTTCGGCACTGATCACCGTGCAGTCCTGATTTCAGTTTGGATGGAATTCTTCCAGTCGCATATATAGAGATTACCTGAAACTGAAAACTAATCAAACCGGATTCCTGCTGCCGGTTGTTGATTGTGGTTGTTGTTTGGCTATTTATTTGACTCTCGCTTGGATACTAGCTTTATGCAAATAATGGTGATCCCGGTGTTTGGCAAATAATATCGGAAACCGGGATTGCCGGCTTTCGGTAGATAGTTGGACTACGTGATAACAACTACGAACGGTTGGGGTTAAAAACAATCAGGTGAAGAGAGGTATAAATTGTTAGGTATCTTGTGAGAAAAAAAAGTCAACGTTGTCGTCACCATCAGACAGACACGCGTCGCAGTTTGGGTGATAAACAAGAGGCAGGTCTCGCCGTCCTTCGGGGTTGTACATACATCTGGAGAGGTATCTGCATATTTATATCAGAAGGTGCACTTGGCGTTGGCATGATTTGCGAATAATAATTTGTTAACTGGTGATATTTTTGTTTGTTTTCATAGAAGGTGATATTCTGGTTTTGTATCGTTGTTTGTTCTCTATGGTGAATAGGTATGTAGGTATCTGTATATATGCTGTGTGATAAAATTTGAGAATATGTAAGTTTGTTCGTACCTGAAGTAACTTGTGAGCATGATTGACCGGCGATGTTTGCTACTCCGTTATTGTCAGTTAAAAAACATATTGTACCCTCTGTCTACAAGCCATGAAAACCATAAAATCAAATACAAACACATGCTTTACAATACAAGATCCCTTTTTTAATATATTTTTTTTTTATAAAATGTATATTTAATTATCTTTTATTTGATATGTTAATCTTTAAGGTGATACTCTAAGGAAGCCTTAGCGTGAAACTTTAAAGGCACAAATGTCAGCTTCCACAAAACATACAAATTTGAAACTGCTACTCCTTGTTTGCTGTGCTACTACAAACAGAGAGTAGCAATTTCAAATTTGTATGCTTTGTGGAAGCTGACATTTGTGCCTTTGAAGTCTCACGCTAAGGCTTCCTTAGAGTATCGGCCTGTGGTTGATATAAATTTTTGAAAAAAAAACCGATTTTTCGGACCACCCTAACATGGAAACGGTCACCCTAATGACAAAAAAAAACGGGTCTAATACTTTGCGATAAGCACAAAACTTCCAATTTTTACGAAATTCTGAGACCCACTGTATCGTTTTGCTATGGAATGGCTGTATAATTCAACACATTAACGTGTGATTCAGTTGTTGTTATTAACATGTAATCACAGACAAACAGACATAACACATTGAATATTTTTCAATGTAAAACATCGTCACTAAAACACTACCGCTATCCCAAGTAACCACCAAGCCCGCTAACTACCCGATAATCGCCCTTTTTTGCGATATAAGGTAAATATAGGGTTTCCGAACTTTATATCAGTCGTATAGCAGCCTTATATAGCAAAAAGGGCGATTAACGGGCTTGTTGGTTACTTGGGATCTGTTTATTTGTTTGTTTATTTGTTATGGTTGCATCAACAGACTAGAAATAGTCCCAATGATGTGTTGTAAAAAAAGTACAGATTATACAGACGACATACATATACTACAGTTACTACAGTTACAAACGAAAATAACTTGGAAAGCATTGTCAAGTTACTAAAAATTAAATTTTACACTTAGCTGTTGGGTATCAAGCGCCTTCGGTCAGCAAAAAAGGCAGAGAATCTTCGGCGAAGCATATTCCGTGTCAAGTGGAAATCGAACATCGACGCTACTCGGTTGAACACTAGCTGCAAGCCGTAAATAGCGCTCCCTATGCTATAATTAGTTCGAAGAAGTGGAAGTCTCAGCATAAGACTGTTGCGTAGTGATCGAGGTTGAACATTAATGTTCACTTGTTGCAGAATTGCTTCGCAGTCGATTCTTCCTTGCAGAGTATCGGCGACGGTTAAGGCTCTGAAAACATCTCTTCGGATACGTAAGGGCTCGATATTGATCAATTGGCAGCGATTCTCGTAGCTTGGAAGACGAAGTGGGTATCTCCAAGGCAGCTTACGGAGCGCGAAGCGAAGAAAACGTCGTTGAACAGATTCAATTCGCTCGGCCCCATTATTGTAGTTCGGGCTCCAGACAGCAGAGCAGTATTCCAACGTAGATCGTACGAGAGAGCAATAGAGCGATTTCAAGCAGTAAATGTCCGTGAAGTTCTTAGTAATCTTGAAGACAAAGCCAAGCGTTCTGGACGCTTTGTCGACGACATACGATATATGGTGTGAGTATGTCAGCTTTGAGTCTAGAAAAGCGCCTAAGTCTTTCACGCAGTGCACCCGTTCGATAGTCGTGCCTACACAGTTAAAATTTTTTTGTAAATTTACATGTTTTTTAACGCACACTTATGAACCGTGTTTATTCCTATAAATTTACACGCAATTTTAACTTTACATTTGCCTTAAAATTAATCTAAATGTAAATTTAAAGTTAGATTTAAGATTAAATTTTATTCGATTTAAATTTACACATGAGCCTAAATTTACGCCATGCTTGAATTTTCAATGCGGTTTTATTTTTCAATTACAAAGCGTGTAAAAACTTTATTGAATATTTATTTATTTATTAAAGTTCTTAAAATAACCTCCCCCAAAATGATTTATTTCGGAATGCTTCTTAAGAAAACAAGAACAATTTTGGAATTATGTTTTTATTACTTATTATATTTATTTTGCTCCTAAGAACTTATTTTAACTTAAAAAAAACTGATGTAGCAAAAAAAAAACAAGCATCTACAGAATCAGTCATCAAATCATTATTATAAAATATTTAACGGTTCAGCTTGTGGAATTCGATGATTAGACAATGCAGTTATGACCTTTTTCACGACACGTTGTCGTTGGCCAACTCGAACGGCATTCGATTTTGATCCGGAGAGCGTAATAATTTTCAAAAAGTACTCCTGAATAAGCTCGAGGAATTTTGAAACACATTTCATATACATGAAATTGTGAACAAAGTGTACAGTCATGACGTCTTGCAAAGCTGTGACAATGTCCGTAGTACCTTCGGATAGCCTCGTCCGTTCTGCAAACACGTAATACATACTTTTGCCACCGTCAATATCTGTAAAAATAAGAAACAATGTTATGTCACTCTCTGAGTATGTCCTAAATGCTAACGCTGTATCACTGTTATAAATATCGATTTACAAAACTGAAAAACCGACGCTCAACTTTTGGTTTATCGAACAATATCTCTGGAGGTAAGTGTTTTTATAGCCATATAAGCATTTCCATGAGCGAAGACCATTGAGAGATTAACTTTTATCCGGCCTAAAAGTCGATCAATCAAAATTATAAATTGAATAGCTTTTATTATTTTTCCAACATATTGGTTGAATTGTCTTTTACTTTTGATTCTTTTACTTTTGATTCATGCATCGTTGAACGTCACATGATTTCAGAAATATTCCAGGATTCCTTGGCGGTACCAACGTGAAATACGCTATTTCACGTTGGTACCCCAAGCAATTTTTGAATAGCTCGTGATCCATGTGTCCTATTTCGAGTCTTAAGGCATGAATCACAATAAGAAGACTTTTTTGATACCGACTGAATATTTGTTGGGTGAAAAAATAGTAAAGTTATTCAATTTTTAATTTTGATGAAGGTTAGAATTTGACTTGATTTAAAATGACAACTTTAAGCGGCAGGAATGGAGCACTTCTAATAAGGTGAACCCACAGATTGATCCAAACAGGACACTTATCAAAAGGTAGCTTTTCGACTACTGCATTTGTAAAGACCTGATTGACAGATTCTCTACGTTGATTATCTTTTTGCATCCCCACGGCTTTGAAAAGGCATTTCCAGCTATTTTTAACACACAGTTCAACCAAAGAAGCTATTGTCTATTATTTAATACGACAAACACGGCAGGAAACGGTTTTGTAGTTAAATAGTTAACGAAATAGAAAGACGATGAAAATAATCGATCAATGTTACTTAGGACCTTGATATAGTGGGGTCAGATAGAAAACGATGCAAGTAACAATCAAAATAAAATTAAAATATTACTATTAGTGCCTTCCCGTTTTTGGCAACAAATGATTTTAGTCTTTTTTCTCTTCTAGAAAAACCATCTAACAATTTGTTAAACTTCTGACTTCATTGAACCATTATTTGGAGATCCTTGATACTTTGTATTTCATGAAAAATTATCTTAATAGTACAAGAACAATTTTGAGGAAAGAAATAGCTGATGAGGTCGTGTTGCCAAAAACGGGACGGCACTGTATAAGACAATAATCAAGTATCGATTATTACCAGTTTCTCATGTCTGTCTGCATTGTCACTAGTCCCCATTTCCTTCTAACCCCTTCAATTAATACAGTCGTGCAATTTGCATGCCTCAATATTAAGATAATTGAGGGAGTTAGAAGGAAAGGGGTGTAAGTGACTTTGATCGATTCTCTTCATCGACTTTCTCTTTTGATAACCACGGATTTAAAAAAGGATTTCACGTTATTTCTGCCACATAGCTTGATATAGGAGGTTCTCATCTAGCATCCATAACGAAAACGCATCAAGGATTGTGTTTGCAGCTCAGTTATTAATGAAAGAAAAAGTCGATGAACATAATTGATCAAATACACTTACACGTGTTCACTGTATCGGGAACCGGAACCGGAACCTTGACATCCGGCTTGGAAAACGGACGCGCTAATGGACTGCACTATTGCTGTCCTTATTGTAGCCAAAAAATACTTGGAATGGTTTCCAATGAGATTGTTTTAATAAACCATGCAAAATGCTTCAAACGATGCTAACTGCAGTTGACACTTACCTATTGCAACTAATACCGGCCCAGGACCATCCAAAACGACATCTTTGATACGAGTTCCAATCTGTAAAAGGGAAATCTATATTATTGAAAAGTTATCACAAAAATTTATATAATTTACCTCCTTTTTAATCACAAGCTGCTCAATCTGCTCCCCAACAAGCGAAAAAAGAAATTCAAACAGCTCAATATCGTCCTTGATTTGTATGCGTTTACGGAGAGTTAAAGAGTAATCGATTATTTTTTCCCGTTTGGAAGCAACATAGTTTCGTAGGCAACTAACGTCTACACCTGTCGCTCTCTGGAAATGGAAGTTCAGTAGCTTACGTCGCCTCAGTACTGGTAGTTGGGCAACGATAGAGTTCAATTCGCCTTGCTCATCCAACATGTGTCTCACAAATGATTGCGATTGTTCCAAAACTTCATCTGTTAACAGATCAGGCTCGTCCCTCAAAAGCTTCGAGTACAGTTCCTTGGTGCACTCCTTAGAGCTCTTTTCCCAATATTTTTTATCAGTTCCTGCACGAATATTCCGCTTCTTCTTCAGAGGCAAAGGTGGCTTTGACGTTTCTTCATCGTTAAATCGGTTGAGATAATTGTTCCTGTTAATCATTTTATACTTTAATTCGATGTACCCTTGGCCGCCTCCATATCCATCGTCGTCACAAAAGTCGAGACAAGTATATTTATGCAAAATTTGTTTCGATACGTTCGCCATGGTTTCGGCACGGATATCAGTATCTATCAGTCTCAGTTGATTTACAACTTCGTTTAAAAAACTACTCAGATCTTGTTTTGAAAACCGAAGTGACTGTGGAACTGGCTTTCCTGTGTTCGTATTTTTAAATTGTTGCAAATTTTGCAGTTTTATCAGCAGAATATCACTTATCTTGTCCCAGTTAATGACGAACGATCTAAACTTCAATTCAGTTGCGGCATGCTTCTTTGTATTCCTCTGAAGTTTCACTCCACTGCTGTCGTGTTTCCTTTTGCGTGATTTGTTCGGTGATTGATTTTCATGATCTGAATTAGCTTCAGACTCCGACTGTTCATCGACTGCTTCCGATATCTCAGCCTGAGGAACATCGGTTCCCTCAGCTATGGTTGATGTGGCCACAGACGATTCTCTTTGCATATTACTCAATTCTGTTGTTTGCTTCTCGTTTGTCATGACGGACTGTCGTTCGAAATCTACAATTTCACTCCCAGGAGAAGTTATGCTGATCAACGTATTAATTATTGTGTTCTGCTCCGAGATACTTCGCTCATCTTCCTCGATATTATTTGGCAAATCCATGGCAATAAAATCGGGGGCTGCGATTACAGAGGTCGGTACCGATTGTTCAGGAGTATTCGATAAAGGAAATAGTTGACGGAGCCACCTTTTGATCATATGTTTGCCGTTCGTCATTTGAATAAGGAATCGAGTTCAAGGAAGTGTCACCTATTTAGCAAATGAAAAAGAAAAAACTTAATAACATTCAAAACATTAAAAAAAAAAAACATATATATATAGGCTAAGTAAGACGTACAGTTTTGTCTACACGCTAAGATCAGATAACCCAAATGTAGGTTTACTTTACCCAAATCGGGCGTAAACTGCACAAACTCAGATATGGGTAAATTTTTAACCCAAATATGGATAAATTTAGGTCAAGTTTGCATAAAAATAAATCATTTATGGATCATAAGAACCCATATTTGGATTTAAAAAATTACCCATCTCTTTGTACCGTCTGGGTAAACTGATCTTAGCGTGAATATATATTTTCGCTAAAGCACAAAATCGAAGTTCGCTAGTATGGACCTGGGAGGGAGACACAGACTCGAAACATATTAATGTCAAAACGAACCAAATGCAAGCTGTCACGAACTGTCACCATGAACCTTTACCTTTCTTAGAGTCGGACAAGAATACATAAACCGGTATTGACATTTAGTCACATATAGACATATAGTAACGTGCATCAAATCTTATAAAATTTTGAAAGCTGATTGACCATATATGCAATGGTTATTTGTATAGTTTTGAGCTTGATTGGCTGAGGTTGTTTGAAGTTTGACTGGTTTTAGTAAAACACTTCCCATTCTTCCTCCATTTTCAAATTGTTATTTCTTGAAGAAATATGAACGAAATGAAATTCTATTATTTTATATTTTTAGTTGAAACATTACCATACAAGTTGGTAAAAAAGTTGTTGAAATTTATTCACGAGGAAAAAAGTTAAAAATTTCAAAGGATGTTTTCAACTTTATTCAGTGAATAAAACCAAATGTATACTCGAATGTATATGAAAAGATCAAGTTTTTGTCAAAATCTTTGGTGGCATAATGAAATGCAAAACAAGAAAAAACAGACTGAATCAAGGTAAGTAGAGAGGGAGGTAATACAATCTGTCAGAAATTATGCATTCTGCCATAATGGCTACACGCTAAGATGCACATCCCGGATAAAACATGTGATACAATTTATGGTTAAAATTATAACCGTTTTATAAACGTTATGGTTAACAATAAATTTAAATGTACATTTACAGTACCGTGAAACTTTTGAAAACTTCGCATTTTGTTACAAAAAGATGTTATATCTTTTCATTTTTAATAGTCATATGCAACGAGTACACAGAGTTTTTTTAAGCGAATAAAAGTTTAACTCATACCATAAATGTACAATAGGTTTTATGGCAATACAATACAATTTAAAGTAAACCAAAATTAAAACAACATAAAATATATCAATAGAGAAACAATAAAAACATTACAACATAGTACAACACTAATACAAAAACAATAAACACTTGAAAACTATTGATGCTTGTCTGCGGGTAGATATCATCACTACACGTCTAAGCCGTCATCTACTAGTAAGTACAGGTGGAGTAGTGGTAGAGGACTCAAAATACAAAAATAAAATGGAATTTAAAGTTCCTTGGTTCGAGTCCCAATATGCCAAATTTATTTAAAAAAAATGGTAATGACCGCTGTAAACAAATTTACTACCAGCTCACACTACGTGATCTTGCACTACGTGATCGGTATGCTGCAGAAATTGACAAAAAAATCGCTTCTGGATTCTTCGAAAAAGCAGACTATTCCGAGTGGTCATCGCCGACCCACATCGTCGTTAAGAAGAACGACAACATACGGATCACTGGGAACTATAAACCCACTGTCAACCCGAGGATGATAGTGAATGAGCATCCGATTCCTAGAATTGACACGATTTTCAACAGAATGAAAGGAGCTACACTTTTTTGTCATCTGGATGTCACCGACGCTTATACGCGCCTTCCAATCGATGAATAGTATAGTCATATGCTAATGTTTGACACGCCGACACATGGACTCATACGTTCTTCCCGAGCAGTTTATGGAGCTGCAATATTCCTGCAATTTGGCAGTGGCGCATGGAAACAGTACTCCAAGCCTTGGACAACGTCGTCGTCAGCTTCTACGATGATATAATTGTTTTCGCAAACGATTTCGACAATCCCATGCAATCTCACGGTCACTATGGACACATTGAGGCTAAATGGACTGCGGCTCATCCGATCGGCGTGCGTCTTCGCCATAGCATCTCTGGAATGTCTGGATGATAAAATCGATCGTCCCGGACTGCACAAATCGGATAAGCACATTGAAGCCATCAGGGATGTACCACGACCGGCAAATCCAGAGGAATTACAACTTTTCTTGGGTGAGACTACCTATTTATTATATTGCATTTATCCCAAATCTTTCTTCTAGAGCTAGAAGTTTGCGTGATATACTTGTAGGGGATATGTTCAAATGGACATCTGAAGCTGACAAGCCGTACAGAGACTTGAAAGATGTTCTAGCCTCACCACAAGTTCTGATGCAGTATGACCCAACATTACCACTAATTCTGGCAACTGATGCTAGCAAAACATGTCTAGGTGCGGTGTTATCACACCGACTGAGCAACGGAATGGAACGGCCGATAGCATATGCGAGCAGCACGATGTTCACCTCAGAGTAAAGATACCCTCAGATCGATAACGAAGCTCTCGCTATCGCATTGGCAGTGAAGAAGTTTTTCCATTATCAGTACGCCCGAAAATTTACCCTGGTAACGAACCATAAGCCGCTCACGCAAATTTTGCATCCATAGAAATCCCTTCCAACACTTTTCATCAGTCGGATGGCGAATTACGCTGATTATCTGGCACATTTGAACATCGATATTGTTTACAACCCAACAGACCAGAACACGAACGCTGATTACAGTTCCCGAATATCCAGCACATCAATGCAATCCGGAGTTAACAGCCTGTCTGTCCACGGGGGAGGAAATGTTGAGGACGAATTCGACCAGCTTGCTCTACATGGAATACAGCAACTACCAGTGCGAGCTGACCACATAGCACGGGAGACACGGAAAGATTCTTATCTCGGACAAATTGTGCAAGAACTGGAGTCAGGTCATAACCTTGCGCAATCAGAATACAAGGCTCCAGAAGTGAAATACACACTAGCAGCAAACTGTTTACTGTTCGAGGACAGAGTAATCTCTGTCTCATCGGTTCTCCAACAAGCGATTTTGAACGATCTACACGTAGCACCCCTGGGTGTCGTTAAAATGAAAGGTCTGGCATGATCCTTCGTTTACTGGCCAGGTATTGATTCAGATATCGAACGAACAGCAAGTTCGTGTGTGGAGTTTGCTCGCCACGCACCTGTACCACCAAGATTCAGCCGCCATCAATGGGAGTATCCGAACGGTCCATGGGAGCGTGTACATATCGATTACGCGAGCCCAGTGGCGGACACAATGCTGCTAATAATCGTTGATGCCTATGGCAAATGGGTTGAATTTAAATTCATCACTTCGACAACAGCAGCCGCCACCATCAACTTGCTCGACAATTTGTTTTCTGCATATTCTGCACCAATCACATTGATTTCGGACAACGGTCCGCAGTTTACGGCTGCGGAATTTCTTCAGAAGAGTGGAGTGAAGTTCCACAAACTATCGACAAACTAAGCAGGCTCTCAAGGCAATGAGCACAACGAAAAATTCCTTGAAAGCGGACATCAACGAGTTTCTTCACCAATACCGAAAAGCACCACACAGCGAAACCGGGGAATGTCCATCGAAGCTTTTCTTGGACCGAAGTATCCGGACACGATTAGATCT